ATGTATAGTTATTATCAGATCACAGGCCTTAAAGCTCTAAGAACAAATAAACGAATTACAGGGTATAGAGATAAAACACCTCAGTTCGGGGGGAAAGGGATTGTTAGTAATAGGATCTAATTGACCCATTGCTTGCAAACCCTATCAGATCGACCTCTACGCGGTTCCCCCTGGAAACCGTCATGGTTAATTCTAGTAGAATTCGTCACGATGGGCTACCTGACCTGCCTCTTCATCCTCACCTGTCATCCATCACTGGTGCCCCGCCAGTGTATCCCGATAGCGCAGGCAGGGTTACCATTCCATTATCACCCATTAAAACAAAAACACCTCAGTTCTCAGGATATGTAACGCATGAAGTGTATTATGGGTGACATAGTAGGTATACTCTAGTAATCCCATGGTACTACTGTTTATGTGTATAAGCGACGATTGTCACTTTTTATCAGGCGGTCTATTAGATTGTTTGTCATTTTAAAATGTATAAAAAAAAATTTACTAATACTACCATACATTTAGTATATCGTGCTTACGTCGTAACACTACTACACGTACATTCGTGTTATCACGCTGTAGTGTCAAGAGTTTACAGGCAGTCCTAGACGAAGACCTCTGGTGTAGCTGAACTGAACCATGGATTTATTTATTGTCCTATAATGTACGGTTCAAGTGACAATATTTTTTAAACGTTCCAAATATGATTTTAAAACATCCAGAGGTACGGGCTTGAAATCGAATTTGGAATACCCATAACCCCAGTCAAGCGGGGTTAAAGGGATGGTTAGTAATGGAGTTTGACAGCCCCATTGCTAACAATATGCCTTATTAGGTCGACCTCCATGTGGTTCCCCCTGGAAACCATCGTGAACAATTCTTGTTGAATTCGTCACGATGGGCTAACTGACCTACTTCATCCTCACCTATCATCCTTCACTGGTGCCCCGCCGGTGTATACCGATAGCGCGGGTGGGGTTACCATTCCATTATCATCCATTAAAAAAAACCCCAGTCAAGCAATTTACAATACTGTACTTATACAATTGTATCGTTGTGTTTGTAAATTGTCTTGCTTATTTCCTATATTGTATAATGCAAATATACTCATTCATTCATTCATACAATTGAGCTAATTCACAAAATTCCCTCATTAATACCGAGGATTGTTTTGCTATACCTAATAATATTTTTCAATCGACTTCAAAAAGGTTATTCTTAATTCGGCTGTATTTTTTATGTTTGTTACCTCATAACTCGATCAGTTCTAGACCGATTTGAATTTTTTTTTTTTATCTCAAAGCATATACTTACAGATTAGTTGCGTAGAAATTTTATCAGTATCGGTTTAGTGGCTTAGTTTTTTAATCGAACTTGCCACAATTGAAGTCAGCTTTTTTTGTGAAATATTCTATTTTGATGTGTATGGGTATTTATGAATAAATATTTTAATATACACATAATTATTACTATGAGACACTTATTTAAGTAGTAAGTAGTAACTTAAAGTAAATGAATTATACTTATACCTAAGGCTTAGTTTGCGTAACTATTCTAACGAGAAATCTTATCTGAGTTTCGTCGTAATGAACCACGCCACATTTGAGTAAAATATATACCTACCTAGTGAGTACTTACATTAGAAGCATAGACGTTCTGCCATTGATACTTTTGACTACAACCATTGAATTAAAATGAATAGAAGAGTCAGTTTCACAAATTTTATAAAATACTAGCTATCTACTATAAAAGACCGCGGCTTCGCCCACTTGAATCAGTATTCAATGTACATAAAGTACCCTATATGCTACATTGAGATATATCTAATCCGGGTACTAAATTTCATTTAAATCTGTTTAATAGTTTTTGCGTGACTCATTAACAAACATCCATTATCCATTTTTACAAACTTTTGCATTGATAATAATATTAAAAGGATTTTATAATTTTGATAGGAATATGGTAACTATTCTAAGAATTGGCTATTTATCATCATACGATCTCTTAATTTTTCTTCTAAGAATTAAAAATAAACTATGCAATTTTTTATTGTGATTATTTAAATGAGTAAAAAAATTTATGAGATATAAATTGAGGTACCATTTACTAAAAACTGACAGCCATTTCTGTTCCCATATCTGGCAATTTAGCACAAATATTAGCTCTATATTGATTTATACTTGCAAACAAACACAACATGATATACCAAATAACTTGCAAGAGTTAGTCTCAAGAAAAAAAAATTATCATGAAATTTATAAATTTATTATAAATACTATAAACATTATTTAATTTTATGTAGACTTTATAAAATGCAGTGACCTGTTCATTAATTCAGTTTACAGCAGTAACAATTGAAGACAACCCTTAAAGGCTAGAATCCAATGCCCTAAAAACCATTAAAAAAAAACATTCTACTTTGTAACCAAAGATTTCGGTCTTAGTTTGTTATTCTAATTTTAACGATAGTCGCTCGAAATAAAAATATTCACTCCACATTGCGGTAATTTATTATTACACTACTACAATCCACTAGTCAATCGTTTATTTCCATAAACTACTAAGAAATGGTAAGAAACGTCAATTTCCACGCAAGCAACGAACTACAGCCAGCCAGCTACAGAAAGGCTTTCCAGTGGTATAAAAATTTTATTCTGTGACACCAGCAAATGGCCTTCGGGAGACGTCAGGTGTTGATATAGATATCATGAAACGTTCCTTTGTTCAGACAAGAGCGTCACTTTAACAATTAACAATAATGGTTTTGCTTTTTGTGGTAGATTAAATAACTTCTTTGATGCGAAGACAAAATGAAACTTGCTTGTAGAGTTCTTTGATATTGTAGTAAATAGTAAAAATTAAATATACCTAGTCCATTCGGGGCTTAATTTTTTTTTAGTACGTTTGTTCCGTTATGGAGCAGGCTAAGGTCGGAGAACATGCTGCCTAGTCTTCAGTGTGATAATTTGTTTAGACCAGAGCTTAATAAAAATGTAACCATAAAGTACTGTATTTTTTTTAACGGTCACAGAAACATTTCTAATTTGACAAATGTCAGTTGATATATTTTTTATTTGTACTAAGATTTAACATTTGACTTGGCCGTGTGATCCCGGCATAGAATGGGCCACACCTTCCATTCCCGTGAGTGTCATAAGAGGCGACTAAGGGAACTTAATGATCAAAAGATAGGTTGCTGCCTATCGCTCAACCACTGAATTCGTCAGCATCCCTCTTAAAACATCACCAAAGCCTAACTGCGGTTGCCAACCCGCCTGCTAAACGTGGCAAAACCTTCCAATAGGGGGAAGCCTATGTTCAGCAGTGGACAGTTAACGGCTGATATGATGAACTACTTTTTAACAGCATACTGTCTTATTGTACACGTTTTCATCAAATTCAGTTAAAACAGAATATAATTATGATTATGACTGTAACATCAAAAGACGTAGCAGGAATCTGTGATCATACATACATACATACATACATACCTGTCACTCTGTACCTAACTCCCATTGGGGTAGTCAGAAACTAATCAGTTTCAAAAATATCTATTGTTACCTATCAGAAGAAGACTTTATCCAAAGGTCTGCTTGGGTACCTCTCTCGTGTTTTTAACGGCGAACAGCAGTGCTTACTCAACTGTTTTAGTTTGATAGGTGGAAAATGCTAATAAAATCACTGGGTATGGAATGGAAAAAGATCTTTGTTGGTATTTAATTAACTAATATTTCTGTAGTGGAAGGGAATAGGATAAATACAATATAAAAGTACGATAAAATTTAATAGAAGAGCAAATACAGAAAGGCAACGATTGTTTCTAACAGTGTGTCAGTTAAATTTAAAAACATATATTTTTAAATTATAACCGGCCAGTAGTTTATAGCTGTATGAAAATAAACCTATTTCTAACAATCTTAGTCCTAAGAAATGGCAATACATGAGAGGTATCATGCATATCACAGTGTATGCTCATGTAATGCTAAACGTAACCAACTATAAACGACTATTATCACTTTCCATCAGGTGGACCGTTATTTGCCAATCCAAATTGTATCTACGTCATAATTTGGAAGTAAACCGAGCCGTGTCAGGTCACCAGTCCCATATATCGAAGCAATAAATCCATCTACGGAACGAATGAGGTTTTTCAAACCGCCATAGCGTCATAGTCTCGGCGGGGGCGGGCGCCCGCCGCGTACATTAGGCATCCACTCTCAATACAGCCGGTTCGTTAACTTTTATATATAATTTGCTTATGTAGGTATATTTCACTTGCTTCACATACACACATGCATTGTCTTTAGATATACGTATTTCATAATTTTTAAGAGATATAAAAAGATTTATTCAAATCCATTCGGTATTTTAAGAATAATTCATTTTTATTACTGAAATATCTTAAATTTTATTAAAATCTAATAATAGTTAGGTACAGATTCCTAATGAAACAAGAAGTTTCCATAAACGAAACAAAGTACCTACTTACGTAGAAACTTCAAATTAACAGTTATATTTCTTTTTTATACGTAGATACCATAATATTTGCAAACAAGTATGCTTAAGACCCAGCAGATAGTAAATAGTTACCGTAGTTTGTGTGTATGTTTGAAGTATTTCTCCTGGTATAAACTCAATGCTGTAGACCTCTTATAGAGTATTGTTAGGGGGGAAAGGAATTGTTAGTGATGGAGACTGAAAATCCCATTGCTAGCAATATACCCAACCAGGTCGACCTCCTCGCGGTTCCCCCTGGAAACTATCATGGCTGATGAATTGATCATGATGGGCTAACTGACCTATTTTCATTCTCATCTATCACCCTTCATTAGTACCATTCCATTTTCACCCATAAAAAAACCTCTTATAGAGTTGAAAATATTGGCAGAAATTTCATGTAGGTAATTGATATATGTACATACATATACATTATAATATAAATTATATAATTTAGATTATATTCGACAGATTATGTATCGATTTAAAATAAATCAAACTACCAAATTAAAAAATGTATTGTTTTATTGCGTTGGCGTATTATAATGTATATGAAATACCCTATACGCACAGTACTCCATCAAGGCCAATCCTAACGGATACAAAATCTTTGGTCCTCTCATTTGAGGTGGCAGGAAATAAGCAAATAATGCTGCTCCGGCCGCATACCATCCCCATTCTCTATTATTTTGTATAGAATAATGACATAGAGAAATTATATTACAAGCTATCACTAAATTCCCTAACTGTACATTTTCTTCTCCCGCCAAAGCCATAGTAAAAGGAATCAGACCAGAGACAAGATGAATAACGCTTAAATTTTGATTTCCTCTATAGAGGTCGGCCATGAGACATGGTAGAGCTAAATAACGGGTCGCTTTGTAACTCACTATATAGGCTGCATTAAAATCGTTGTTGAATCTTCCGCCTGAAAAAAGTACTTAAATATTTAAATCATATAAGTATTAAGAGGGTGGGTCATACCCATCGCAAAATAGTCTAGTGCTCAACGCAAGACGCGGGGGGAAAGGATTATTAGTAATGCGGACTATCAATCACATTGCTAGTAATATATCCTGTCAGGTCGACCTCCACGTGTTTGCCCCTGGAAACCATCGTGTTGAATTCCAGATGTATTACTCACTATGGGCTAACTGACCTGCCTTTTCATTCTCACCTATCATCCCTCACTGGTAGCATAGACGGAGTTATCACTGCATTATCATCCATTAAAAAAAACGCAAGATGCGAGCCAAGTTTCATAAAGACGTCTTTTCGTTTTTAAAAAGAAAGAAAGAACAGAAAATAATATTAAATACGTCAATGCGAAAGTAATGACAAACAAGCTGATGTCCCGCTTAACCCCTCAAACTATATTTCCTGGGATCTAATATATATTTCTTCTCCCATTACCAATCAAACCAAACAGGTACGCTTGTGTTTAAAAAAAAAAAAAGAGATCGGCGCTATTAATCCTGAGTTAAATTATAATATTTGTAGACAACTTTACTTTGATAATGAAGAAATCCCAAAACTCCATGTATAAAAAAGTTGGCGTGCATCCCCGGGTCCGTGAAGCTCCTCCCATGCATGCGGCTAATACCCCGTCCGGCCACACAACACAACATAATATGTGCGATAGACGCATTAAGGTTGTCGTCTTGGCCCATAGCACGTATTTAAATAAATTTTAAAACATAATAAATTAATTAAAATTTAGTTTTGTAATTACAAATCCCTATTAACTGTCAATTAAAATTTATTTTTCATTATCGTATAAAAAGATTTTATGTAATTTATAAATGAAACAAAGCAATTATAACTAAATTTCGTCAAATTTCCGTTATCTATAATGTAATACTATTCTTAATCTATCGCTGTACATGTAATTACATGTAGAGTTTAAGTTCCAGTACTCAGAGCCGTAAGCTAGAAAAGATAAAAATATTACCGGGTGACCATAGACAGTGTTTCCAACATTGTCCTTTTACGGCTACTTTAACTCTTTTACTCCAGACCTTGTTAATTTAGCCCGTCATAAAATATTATGATCTGTCAGATTGTAACTAAACAGAAAATGTTCATAAAGTTACGTCTGAAACATTATTGTACTGTTTAATATAGGGACGTATACTTATTTGCCTAATTCCATATTTTTTTAATTTCTTCCATTAAGCAAACTAAACTATATGATATTTAATTATAATCCGTTTCTGTTATAATATTAATTATTGCCAATTTTAATTTTTTTTATTCGCGATTTTGGTTTAGCCCAAAATCTTTTCCACAGAGCTGGTAACATTGAACATAGACAAACAAAAAACATTCTTAATTCTTTCATTGATGTGAAGCTGCCATTTTGCTATCAATTTCTGTATCTTTTTACCTTAAAATTTGCACGTAAATCATTAAGTTTTACAATAATTCAGTGCTAAAAAAGTAATTTGAAGTGAAAGCAAGAATTTAACATAAAAATGGCAGCAAGTGATTCCAGTACAGATGAGTCATTGTACCCGATTGCTGTGCTAATTGACGAATTGAAAAATGAAGATGTCCAACTAAGATTGAATTCCATTAAGAAGCTTTCAACAATTGCTTTAGCCCTCGGCGTGGAGAGAACCAGATCTGAGCTGATCCCTTTCTTGACGGAAACCATTTATGATGAAGATGAAGTGCTACTGGCGCTCGCTGAGCAACTTGGTAAGTTTTACAAAATAAAAAAATTATTTGCGTCTTCAGTACACATAAAAATACTAAAACAAGCGTAATAGCATTAAAGTGGTACATTGTTTTTTTTTTATTATTATTATCTATTGCTCTGAGTATTAATTTTATATTATTATTTTCTATGTTATATTCCTCTCTATACTCAAAATTTCACATATGTAAGTATTACATTTTTAAAACTGATAAGCAAAACCAGGTTTTATAGGTTCTTTAACTCCACAGGGCCTATCTAGTTGATAATGGTTTTTTTTATTACATGATGAAGTTGTTAGAATTGCTCTCTGATTATAATATACATTCCAAGATAAATTTTGTTATGTTTGCTTAAAAGATTATCTTGAGTCATCACTTTACCACAACCTGTTATGACAGTCATTATTTATATTCTATTGTTTTTAATTTTTAATAGGTTTATAATAAATATTCTGTTATAAGTGGTTTCAGTATATAACCTAACTAATTAATAGCTATTTCAGCATATAGCCTTATGCTTAACCTCTCAAGTATAAATATTATATATATGTATCTGTCACGCCTGTCTCCCATTAGGGTAGGCAGAAACAATGGAACACCAAATGCTTCGATTCAAACAAACCTCTTAACCTCTTTCTATAAATATTAATGTTTTCAAAAAATGTATATTTTATTTTAATAAAAAAATAATTGTGTTATGGTTCTTCATTATGACAATATTATGCCTAAGGCAACATTTTGTATGTCAAATACATCCTGATTACTCTGAATTTGCAAGTTTATAAATCAACTATATAATATTATTTAAAATATTTGTAATTTCTCTCACTGTCTTTATTAAAAAGTATTTATTATTTATATATAAAAGAAGTCTTAAAATATTTGGGCTGTGTATTGTCTAAATAGTTGTTTCTCAACTGGGGGTCACGAGCCTTCGGTGATTGTTTCTTATTAAAGTTAATTGAATTGATACTTAAAATTAATTGCCAAGAACTAAATTCACACTAAGTTTGTCTCAATTCTATAATAATGTTAATTCTTACAAAAATATTTCAACAGTAATATTAATTTGAAATTTTAATTTCAGTAGTGAATACATAGAATGACATTTCCATATCAACACCATTGTTTTCATATTTCATACTGTAATAGGTATTACAATATTACAAATGGGTTTTAGTTATATGGTAATATTTTTATGCATATATATGGTCAAATCACAATCTGACACACTTTGACCCATTGTAATATTTTATAGTCAAAATTGTAGAACATGGAGATAGGAGTCTTCTTATTTCACTATTGTAATAAACATAAAAGGATGATAGATGAAGATGAAAGCAGGTCCATTGGCCTAAAGTAATTAATCATAATGATGAATGATGAAGGAAACATTTGGAAGCAGACCTGATATTGGTTTTTGGTATTGGTAACATTGGAGCTGTTAACCCTTCTTTGCATAATGGTGGAAATTTCCATCATAACATTGATTGCCCAAAAATTAAAAAAAATAACAAGCTCAGTTTAAGTTGATCCTGTCAAGGATACCTTTTTAATATCCATTGTAGGAAAAAAAAACATATTTGTCAAATTTATTTTTTTAACCATTTTTCCTTTAATTTTAATTATGAATTATATCATCTTATTTCACTGATAAAAAAAATCATGCAAAGAAGGGTTAAACCTCATTACTAACAATCCTTTTTCACCCCAAATGCATACTTGCCATAACTAATTACTGATATATTTAATGACAGGCAACTTTATCAACCTCGTTGGTGGCGGCGAGTTCGCACACTGCCTGCTACCACCGCTGGAGTCGCTAGCGACGGTGGAGGAAACTGTAGTCCGCGACAAGGCGGTGACATCACTGAGGGCGGTGGCCGCACACCACACGCCGCAGGCGCTCGAGCAGCACTTCGTACCGCTTGTGCAGCGTCTCGCCGGCGGCGACTGGTTCACTTCGCGCGCCTCCGCTTGTGGACTCTTCAGGTTTGATTCATTTCAAGACACTTTCTTCCACGCACAACCATTCTTTAGAATCAACTTCCAGCAGTAGTATTTCCGAACCGATACGACAACATAACCTTCAAGAAAATAGTATATTCCTTTTTAAAAGGCCAACAGGACACCTACAATGCCGTTGGTGTTGTGGGTGATCATGGACGGTGGTAGTCGCTTACCATCAGGTGAGCCGCATGTTCGTTTGCCCCCTGTGTTGTAAAAAAATCTAATCTTTATTCAAATAAACTTGTTAACAAGCAATCGAGCTGTTGAAAGGAACTAAACAGTTACTCTTTTAAAGTTCTGTTAACATTATGTGTATTTATTTAAATGTACTATGTAATAATAATAATAAATAACTTTTAATCAACTAAATTTAATAATTTTTGAAGTCTTTTTTTTATTTAAATCTACTGCCTAGTATGAAAAAATAGCCATATTATATTGTCAAAAAAATTGTCTATTTCCTCCATAACGAGCTCCAATTAATTGTGTGAAATTAATTTGGTCTATTTAGTCATCTATTTGGAAATGAAATGAATTTATTTTGCTAGAATGTAGGTGGTTTTAGATGGAAGTGATTTATATTTCCCATATACATTCTGCCACTATGACGGCGTGCAAATTATTAACAATAGTAAAAAATTACGTATATATATTTTTTTTAATGGCGATAATGAAATGGTAACCCCGCCTGCGTTATCAGGATATGCTGGCGGGGCACCAGTGAAGGATAATAGGTGAGAATGAAGCAGGTCAGTTAGCTCATCGTGACGAATTCAACAAGAATTGTTCACGATGGTTTCCAGGGGGAACCACGTGAAGGTCGACCTAATAGGACATATTGCTAACAATGGGGCTGTCAAACTCCATTGCTAACAATCCCTTTCCCCCCAATTTACCTATATTCTACATTATATTTCTTTTCATTAGTCATATTAATCAATACATACATAATTTATTACAGAGAATAGAAAATTAAACCTAAAAGCAAAAGTATTAAGTTGTATCATTGAATGATAGCAAATTTTTATATACATATATTCTTTATTGCACTTGAACAATACATATAGTGATTAGTTTAACAACTTAGCAAGGGAGGGCTTATCTCTAAAAGAGATCTCTTCCAGCCTACCCAGTGTAGTTAGAGAGAAAATAATTAATTAACGAGTAATTTAGTGCAGGAAAGGTATCGGTAAAAATAATGTAAATACAACAAACATACACAAATTGTGAATAAATAAATAAATAAATTTTTATTTTGTTCACCTTTGAAGTGCTTTGTTATCGGATTATGCTGTGTGCACATGTTGTGGCAAGTTTACCTGATCAATACATTAATGTATGTACTTGCATGTTATAATTTAAGTTTGTATTATATTCTCTTATGTGCGCCTAATAAATAACATTTTCTCAAACATGCTTGGAAATTTGAACATTATTTTGACAATCTTCTTCGAGATAAATCAAAATTGCCGTACTGGTCAGATACATGCGTATAGGTAGCGGCCGGCAAAAGTTGTATGAATATCCATATCTATCGTGTTTTGCGGCCAGATAAATTACTATGTAAACTCATATCTGTGTTGTAATTTAAAAATGGAATGGCCTTTTACTTCGAAACATGGCTACCAAGGAGGTAACTAATAAAAGGTTTTATTTAAATTTCGAACTGGCTTGCAATTTATTGAAAAAAAAAAAAACAAAGGAACATTATGGCGCGTGAAAAATTATTATTGTTCGTTATTCGTCATTGAACTTAAAAAGTAAAATTGTGTTTTTGATTTCCGCGCATTGTTTGAGAAAAGTACTATACAAACCTTGGCCACAACTAGGCATTGATGGACTCACGTATGTGTGCCTCGGCTACGCCTCGGCCCACATTTACACGTTCGTCCATCAATGCCTCAGTTGCTGGCCGCTGCAGTAATGTACTATAAATAAAAATTAAATATGGTAATGATTGCACAGTGTGTGCTACCCGCGCGTGTCGGCGCCGGTGAAGGCGGAGCTGCGGCAGCACTTCTGCTCGCTGTGCCAGGACGACACGCCCATGGTGCGGCGCGCGGCCGCCTACAAGCTCGGCGAGTTCGCGCGCGTCGTCGAAGTCGAGTACGTCAAGAGTGACCTCATACCGATGTTCGTTACATTAGCGCAGGTCGGTATTATTTTAAAACTTCACTCTTAAATGAATATTAACAAATAAGATTGAATGTGAACATTTAGGTATAATAATTTACCTAGTATTATGATCAGGTTGTTGTTGAAATAATTGTAATCATTCCATATCATTAGAAATCATATATTAGTGTGATTTATTAGTTTGTTTGCTTGTTCATGAAATTATCTGATGATGATTATGATTATGTATATAGCTATTAAAAACAATTTTCCACTGATCTGTTGTAAATTCCTATTAACAGAAAAATTTATTTGGTAAACAACAATAGTCTCGATTGATACCAAACTATATTCGATTAAATACCAAGCAATTTAATACAATTTGATTAAATTATCAATTTTATTAAATTTACATATATATTTACATTATTACATATATTACATCTCCATATTCAGAAATGACATGATTTTCATGGTGCCTCCCATCAAATGGTTTATATTTAATCCTCTCCATGTAAAGGTTGCCTAAAAGAGATTGCTTTTAGCGATAAGGCAGTCATTGTTTTCTCACTGTGATTATGTCTAATAATTGATTGTATCTATAATAAGTTTGAATTGTTTGGAGGAAACTAAGAGTGTCTATGGTATTCACTTCACAGGACGAGCAAGACTCGGTACGTCTTCTGGCTGCAGAGGCGTGCTCAGCCGTGGCGGCCCTGCTTCCGCCCGAGGATATGGAGCAACTGGTGATGCCGACTGTCCGCGCCAGCGCCGGTGACAACTCCTGGCGTGTGCGATTCATGGTCGTTGATAAGTATGTATCACCCAATTAGTTTACCAAAGTGTTATCTGATAAATATCATATGATGAAATTGAAGTTGTTTGGCATTTGTAAAACTAAGAAACTCATTCGGACGATCGCAGCGCCCCTCATCGAGGTTACTGGTGACCCAAGAGCTGGTAGCTACTTTACCCAAAAGATAAGTTTGGCAATCCAAAGAGGTAATGCTGCCAGTATCTTGGGTACGCTGCCTCGGTGTGGTGCGTTGGGAGATTACTTATAATTAGTATTAGTACTTAAGGCATTGTATAATAACTTTAATTTATTGATATATTGTATGTGTTATTAAATTAAATGATATTGAAAAAAAAACTACCTGTGAATGATTTGGACTATATGAGGACATTAAATCAGTGAAAGTGATGAATCAAGAATTGAATATCATCATATTAGCTGTTAACCGTCCAATGCTGAACATACCAATTTCCAACCTGCCTGTCTTTTTTGCAGTTTTTTTACTTTTAGGCAGTTTGGAAACCGCAGTTAGGCTTTGGTGATTTTTTAATGACAATATAATTATAACCGCGCCTGCGTCAGTGACGGATGATAGATGGTGATGATGAAGAGGTCAGTTGGCCCATCATGGTCTAGAGTTCAACACGGTGGTTTCCAGGAAGACCACATGGAGTTCGATTTGGTTGTATATATTGTTGGTAATGGAGTTATTTTCTTAATGATTGAAAATGGAATGGTAACCCCACCCGCGCTATCGGTATACACCGGCAGGGCACCAGTGGAAGATGATAGGCGAGAATGAATGCAAGTCAATTGGCCCACCGTAATGAAATCGACAAGAATTAACCATGATGATTTCAAAGGCGGAACCGCGTGGAGATCGACCTGAGAGGGTATATTGCCAGCAATGGAGTTATTAGATCGCATTACTAACAATCCTTTTTCCTAAATAATGGAGTTGTTAGGCCACATCTCCCGTTGGTATATTTTAAAAAGGATGCTGCTGCCCGTCCCTTAACCTTTAAATTTCCTTAGTCGCCTCTTATGAAATCCACGGAAGTAGAAAGGGGACACGTTAAATATCTTTATACTATCATATGTGTTCCTATTACAGATTCGTTGAGCTACAGCAAGCGGTCGGTCCGGAATTGACTCGTTCCGACCTGGCTCAGATCTTCCAAGCTCTACTCAAGGATACAGAAGCAGAAGTACGCGCCGCTGCCGCCGGCAAGGTTAGTAATATTTCCATTTCTACTTTGAATATCTACATTTTTTATATTTACTTCTTAACACTGCTGACCGGAAATTCCGTCATGGTTGAAATCTTTGGAATTATACTAAAATTATGATAAAAACCAAAATACAAAGAAAATATTTTTTCGGTCATGAACGCTTTGAAATCCAAACGGTGTTGCCCATCGTGATTTTAATTGGTGATAATGGAATGGTAACCCCACCCGCGCTAACGGTATACACCGACGGGGCACCAATGAAGGATGATAGGTGAGGATGAAGCAGGTCAGTTAGCCCATCGTGACGAATTCAACAAGAATTGTTCACGGTGGTTTCCAGGGAGAACCATGTGGAAGTCGACCTAATAGGGCATATTGCTGGCAATGGGACAAACTTCATTGCTAACAATCCCTTTCCCCCTGCCCATCGTAGTAGGAAAACGTACCTACACGCTAGCGCAATGACGAGTTTACTCGTCATCAGACAGCAAAGTGTTAATAGATAGATAACTAAGGCTTTTTCCTTGTTATTAATGTATACTTGGCAGAAGAGTTTGTTTGAAAGCACTAATCGAAGTTGAAAATTTATTTTTTGCATTTATGCAACTATTTATACTCGTTTTTCAATTAAGGTTACCGTCATGATAAAACAACTGACAATGCTGCAGAGTACAGTTATTTTTTATACAGTTGAAGGCAAATCTAGTATATTGTTGCCATCTGACTATAAATTGACACTTTAACATTATGAATACACAACTCAGCAATAACTTCTCCCCTAAACAAGGGACTAACAAATGTATTAGTAGATATGTTATTGCTACCTCTCACATGAAATAGAATGTGACTACAATATCCAGAGTCTTAATCTCTCTCATGTGTGTACTAACTAATATATTAAATAGAATAATATTTAACTTAATACTTATTTTAAAATTATTTTATATGCAGGTAAAAGACTTCTGCAAGAACCTGGATAAGGCACATCAAGAACACATCATAATGACAATGATCCTGCCACAGATTAAAGATTTAGTATGCGATCCAAACCAACACGTCAAATCTGCTCTAGCCTCCGTGATTATGGGACTCAGCCCCATAGTAGGTAGACAGAATACTATCGAACACCTTTTGCCTCTGTTCCTCACACAATTAAAAGACGAATGCCCTGAGGTGAGATTGAATATTATTTCCAACTTAGAATGCGTCAATGAAGTAATTGGTATTCAGCAGTTGGTACAATCCCTTTTGCCGGCTATCGTGGAATTAGCAGAAGATACAAAGTGGCGTGTGAGACTAGCCATAATTGAACACATGCCATTACTAGCTGGTCAACTTGGACAGGAGTTCTTCGATGAGAAACTAACAGGTCTTTGCATGTCCTGGCTGATAGACCACGTGTACGCTATCCGTGAAGCAGCTACCCTCAATTTGAAGAAATTGGTTGAACAATATGGATCCCAATGGGCAGAAACAAATGTCATTCCAAAGGTCCTCGCGATGTCCCGTGAACAGAACTACTTACATCGTATGACTTACTTATTCTGCATAAATGTCCTCTCCGAAGTATGTGGTAAGGATGTTACGACACGAGTATTGCTACCCACAGTATTGTCTATGGCCGACGACAATGTTGCCAACGTTAGGTTCAATGTTGCCAAAACACTGCAGAAAATGGCTCCATTCTTAGACCCGGCAGTTATACAGCCGCAAGTGAAGCCTGTGTTGGAGAAACTCAACGTGGACCCTGATGTAGATGTGAAATACTTCGCGTCCGAAGCGATTGCAGGCATCGCGGGCTAAGTCACAAATATAGTAAAATCTTTATATGCCAGCATTTGGACAGTGTGTATACAATATGAACTTATATGGTTACTTTTATACATTTATTCAATATTCCTACATAATTGCTGGCAATTCATATCAGTAAGACCAAAATAATATTAACAAAAAAACACCTTTAATTTAAAAACAAATGGATGAGGTGTTTAAATATTCTCCTACAATTAAAAAAACTTGTCAAAAATCGGGTCGAATCGAGAGCAACCTTTTTGAGATCAATTAAAAACTAAAAATTGTTGACCCACCTTAAAGCAATTTTTGTCCACAGTCTATATAGATCATAGATTAAGCCATAGTACCTGTGATCTTAAAATAAATTATCCAATGTCTTACCAGATACTGGATAATTTACCCCTTTACATCGAAAAAATGAGATCACTCTATCCCTATTTCATAATGTGTACCCACCCCTGCTCATAGCACTTCTATATCTTACTCTTTCTACAGTATATATAAATCATGCCATTGGTATTCACCAGTACTTAAAAAAAAAACTCCAATTTAGATGTTAAAAGTAACCATATATAAGCACATATTGTTAGTATTAAGTTAAATTTATTCAGTGTATAGAAACATTTGTAGATTAATGTGCCACTTAAGAATATAATTTGTTAAAACTGTATGAACAAGATAAAACTATAACGAACTATATATAAAAATAGGTGATCGATCTTGAAAATACCATATTCCTTTTCGTGCAAAATTGTTAATTTTTTTATTAATTTTTATCTTTGTATTTTGTTAATAAATTACGCCCTCCCATCGTAAAACTTGTCATTCGTTACACCCGTAAATCGGAGACGCATTTACACTATTTTGCACGTATGTAATAATAATAAATAAAAATTTATTGATGTTTTATTTTTTGAAACACCATTTCTGCATAGTTTTGTTTTACTTTAGATAGAATTTAGACTAACTGTACTGACACAGATAGATACTATCTCGTTCTTTAATGTTCTTGTATTTATTAATTTTTTAATAGGTGAAAATTGCATGGTTACCCTACCTGCGCTATCGGTATACACTGGCGGGGTACCAGTGATAGGCAGGGATGAAATGGCCAGTTAGCCCATCGTGACGAATTCAACGATAAATTTGTCACGACAGTTTCCAGATGGAACCGCGTGGATGTCGACCTGATAGTGCATATTGATAGCAATGGAGACTTACCTCCCCATTACTAACAATCCCTTCCTCCCTATATTTATTAATTAGTCAATCATAGAAATAGGTATACTTTGAAGGATGCAACAACGCCCGCATAAAAGGGGCGACGCAGTCATTAGCGTTAATTAGTTAAGCCATAATGGTAATACTTGTGGTTACTTGGCTAGTGAATCAAATACACGCAAGTATGCAAGTTGGAAACCAATCCATCGACAGTTATCACTAGCAAATCCCTGAGATAACGATGTCTGGTATCTCATTCTTTCTCATGCGAATACTGACCGAAAATCGATAGATTCGTCCGCTTAAGAGATCTCAGATATAGCCTTACCAAAGAGAGAGTGTACAAAAGTAAATTGCTTGGGCACCTCTGTCCCATTCATGTTTCTACCGTAAAACAGTTGTTTGCATGGCTTTGTTTCGATTTGAAGGGTGGGATATGGTAGTGAATTTATAGGGTACAGACGAATAACACCTGAATACTCAGGAATGGTAACGTATGGGATGTGCCATGGGCGTAACACTACTGTTGTGTCCATGGTACTGTTCATGTCTATAGGCGACCACTTTCCATCAGGTGCACCGTCAGCTCGTTTGCCATTCTAAGTTGCATAAATAGATAAGTGAAATCTAAAGCAGTGACACAAAAAAATCTGCAAATATATCAAAGATTTTTTAAATATAAGCTTTCTTCTGAGTGATGTTTCAAAAGATGAATGGATATAAAATTTTCAAAAATTTGAATTCCATGATCCTTAGGGACCAATGTATGAACAAGCACCATTAAGGTTACAATATATACTAATATTCATAGTGCTATTCAAAAAGCTGAACTGAAGCAGTATTTCCGAACCGATACGACATTATAACCTTCAAAAAAAGAGCATATTCCTTTTTAAAAAACTAGCAGCGCGCCTGCAATGCCGTTGGTGCTGTGAGTGATCATGGGCGGCGGTAGTCACTTACCATCAGGGAAACCGCATGCTCGTTTGCCCACGTGTTGTAAAAATAGGCTAAACTATTTGCCATTCCAAGTTGCATAAAAAAAAAGTGGGGGATAAAACACCAATAAAATAAATATAACTTTCTATACTTTATTTCCATTGAAAATAACAGTATCCTAATTCACTTTAGTCACTGAATTAAATATCTAGCTTTGAAGTGAACGAGGAAAGTAATTTGGAATGTAACACATCGTTACTCGGCTATGTATCTATTGATTTATTTACATATAAATAGAAGTTATTTGACTGTCATAAAGAAAAAAATATCATATCACATCATTTAACAAATTCCAATTACATATGACTGAACACATCTCAACAATTTGTGCTGTATACAAGATAATATAATAATCATTTCAATGTGTCTGAAAGCACCAAAGGAAAAATGGCATCTAATCCGTTAATATTCATAATAATTTACCACACAAACTAACACTATTTTATTGGGAAATTATATACACGAGACGGCAACATTCTTTTAGTGATTACAATATCTATTACTTAGCATAGACAATATAGCAACACGATTGTTTATAATTTTGTAACTTGATCGTAATACATGTAATACATTAATAAACTATTAACAACTTACTATAATAAACAATATTTTTATATTATCTTACAATGTACCGTGGCTCTACGTCCTAATGGTGTAAAAATGCAACCTCAAAAATCATGACCATAGAGTATTTATACTTTTTTAGAAGAGACAGCTAATTAATTAAAATTATTTAAAAACAGAATCTATGGGAGTTTACGATTAGGACATAAAACCACGTGGGAGCCTGGTGTTACCAAGAACGGCCGATGTGCTTGCTGTCGCTCGCCCTTTCGGCGTATTGTATAAGAGCGAGAGGGTTGGCAGGAGACCGCTTATGAGTTCATGGAGGGCTCTAGTGACGCGAGTCCCTGGGATAGAACTCCGCGAGGGTGGAGGCAGGGATACGTTTAAGCATCTCCTTGGGGAAGATACGGAGCAGCTGCCAGCCGATGTCCAAGGATTCGAAAACTGTGCGATTCTCGTAGTTACCCTGGATAACAATATCATGTAATAGTACAATAATTATAATTCACATACTACTCCTGGTTTCACCCTTGCGGTGAAACCAGTAGTTGTATGAAGTTATAAAAATTAAAATTAAGACTGTGTTCTACAAAAAATATGTATTTATTTATTACACCAACTGAATGAGTTTTACTGTCTTCCAATACACTCACACAGGAATATAACATCAAAAACCAGTTATTTTAAATTTAAAAATTAAACTGCTGAATTGACTGTGATAAAGTTTCAATGGGACCAATCTGAAAATGTATACTTTCAGATAAAAAAAAAAAATATTACAAATGACTGAAATATGAGGTAACAAATAAAAAAGTTACCACTGAATTGAGAACATTCTTCTATTTTTGAAATCAATTAAAAAAGATCAGCAGTGGTGATTAATTAAAAATTATAGTCGTATCTAATTTAAATACAGGCCTCTCTCTCTCTAAATCAATATTACTTTTTAAATTCTTAAAAAATTTAATTCCAGCAAATAAAAGCTTATTTTTATTATAAGTATCACAAAATAACGACATCCACATTACATTTTTCATTAATAGACTAATTGTAATATTTGACTCAATGTTAAAAAAAATGTAGTCAATTTAAACAACATTTTAATCACTCATCTCTCAATTTGGTGAATTCGACCTTGAAAAGGAATAAAGTCAAAATTATCTTATACTTATATAAATGATTAAATTAGTTTATTAAAAAGTGTTGGAATGTCTTATATGGAGAATCTAAAGGTAAAATCTTGAATATCCAAAAATATCTATAAGGCAGGTTAATTTTCTAAAATTCCTAAAATACTATCACAGGATTCATCTTTTACAAAATCCTTATTATTATTGAGAAATGCACTTTCTCAAGCAGAAAAATCTAACACTTCGACCGCTATGATCATTTATGGTCATCTTTTTTTTTTTCAATTCACTGCTAAACCTTGTCATCACTTACAAGGAATTTTAAGATGCTCTTCATAACGATGTTTTTATCTGCTCAGGATATGAAGTATACTTTCATAGCATTTACATTATCAAAGCATATACATACATGGGTTACAGCAACAATTAACCATTATACTCTACCATAATTTCCCGATGTCATTTGTTGTATTTTTTTTTAATATCCCTATCTTTTTTTAATTTACTTTTTAAACAATTTTTTTTCTAACCCACCTGCGTGATGAAGTTCTTCTCGAACTTGGTGAGGAACTCGAGGTACAACAAGTCGTCGGGCGTGAGCGCCTCCTCACCGACGACGGCCTTCATCGCTTGCACGTCCTTGCCGATGGCGTAGCAAGCGTACTGGAATGCAACAATAAATTATGTACTTTCCTATATAAACACTAGGAAATATACATATAGCAAACTATATAAACACTAGGATAAATTAAAAAATATCATTTTTTCATGTGACTCTTAATAAATTATCTAATTTATCCTAATATGTAGACCTTCCTACCTAAATATTATGGATTAAATTCAAGATCTTTTAATTTTATTTAAAAAAAAATTATAAAGATAGCAACAAAAATACACTACAGTTCACCACAGTGTATTCTTACATAATTTCATTATTATTCTTACAATATATGTATGCAATATTTAGTTTTTGTATTTCCACTGTGTCTCCATATCTCACTGGTATCCCGCCAATGTAAACCGATAACGCAGGCAGGGTGGCCATTTTATTTTTATCCATTATTCACACAAGTAGACAGAATTTTCGAAAATACTATATAGCTTGTATTACTCACTGATTTTAACTTCACTACTTTTAAATTTCTTTCACCTATATAAAGCTAATGTAGCTTGAAAGAAATTTAAAAATCGATTGAATAGTTTTTAAATTTATCCATTAAAGACAAACAAACAAACTAATCTTTCCTCTTTATAATATTAATATAAAAAATAAACATGATATTGTCAAAATAATAAAAAAAAAAGAACACATATAATATAGGCTAGTAATGATACTCACCAGCTGGTTGGAAACGTCGGAGTGGTCCTTACGGGTCATGCCCTCGCCGATGGCGGACTTCATCAGACGGGAGAGAGATGGCAGCACGTTCACTGGCGGGTAGATCTGTCTGTTGTGTAGCTGACGATCTACGTAGATCTGTAAACAAACTTGTATTACTACAGGAAGACTTTACATATAAGAGATTTCTTTACGAAAGAAATCAATGTAAGCTCCAAGCGTGACAAATAGTATTGACTACTATTGATTTCATTGATTAATTTTGAATTCCAAAAAAGTCAGAGTACCTACCATAAAATATTTTTCGAAATTTCGGCATTGAACGTAACAAAAAATTTTTGTTAAAATTATATAATACATACTGTTTCAAAATATTATAATGGACTCTTATAGTCCAAAAGAAGGATATTTTAATATTTATTATGATTTATATAATTATGATTAATATGATTTATATATAGTAGGATTTATGACTAACGAAACATTAAGCTTATTTACTAAGCCGATTTCAGTATAAACAAAAACATGAAATTGAGTCCGAAAATTAGAAATATCATTTCATGGTAGACCTCCAGAATTAAGCAGATATCGCATAAAATTCACACAAAAAATATCATAGAATTGAAAATCACCAATTCATTTTTTTAATACTCTACAATATTTTTTACTTTTCTATTTTATTATTAAATATACTAGGCCAATTACAGTTATATAGCTCAGTATATATAAAAAAAGAATGTTGTTTTGTTAGTGTTACACAAATGTTTTCTTAGTTTTATGACACAAAACTATGAATTACAAATTAATAATATAAATCGATCCAGAACTGACAAAGATATTACAAAAAAGAAACTATAGAATCAAGAATCTTCTTTTTAAGAAGTTGATTGAAAACAAGCTCTCACCTGTCCCTCGGTAATATAACCCGTCAAGTCAGGAATAGGATGGGTGATGTCGTCGTTGGGCATAGTCAGAATTGGGATCTGGGTGATGGACCCGTTCCTGCCCTCTACACGTCCGGCGCGCTCGTAGATTGTCGCCAAATCCGTGTACATGTAACCTGTGCAATTATAAATATTTCAGTATTTATAACTTATTTTATAAAAGCTTTACAAACAAAAAAAGTTCATAAAAAATAATGTACCAGAGCATGTTTATATGTAAAATAGAGATTTCGAAGTAATAAATATATGTGTATAAAAAAAAATATTGCATAAAAGGATTTAATCTTGACTGAATTAATGTGCGACCAAAACAGGAGTAAAATAGTTCTAATCCTCCTATAAAATCCTCTCTCGTACTTGCTGTGCCCAACAGGGTCCATAATTGAAGTCGAAATTGTTATCTACTAATTATATTATGGAATGCAATAAGAAATAAATAAATAAATAGTTCTGAATTTTCGAAGATGTCACGTAACATATACAAAAAAAAAAATATAATCAAATTGAGAACCTACTTTTTTTTTAAATCAGTCAAAAGATTAAAAAAAAACGATGCTTAGCTCTATAGTCAGTGTGGGCTCTACAGTAAGGAGAAATAAGTGGTGCAAAGGAAAAATATGTTCTTAAGATATGGATCCATACAAGTGGATTTTTTTTTTATTACTAAATATTGTAATGATGATGTAATATGTACCGGGGAAACCACGACGACCCGGTACTTCTTCACGGGCGGCAGAAACTTCACGCAAAGCTTCAGCGTACGAAGACATGTCAGTCAAAATGACCAAGACGTGTTTCTACAACAAATAATACATCACTTTATTAAGATAGGTAAAAAAGGCTTTCACAAATATAGAAACGGAAAATTGTAACTACCAAGTTACTTGCAAATTCTTCATAACAAATAAAATTTGAACCCAGCAATAGAATAACAAAAAGTGTCAATTTAAAAAAGCTTGCATACAACCATAGACAATAATAAATAATTTTATTTTCAAATGAACATTTAGATAATTCGTTTTATAAGGTTCAAAATCTCTCAAAATCCCCGAAATATGTGACAGTTACTTTTTTCACATAATTTATGAGAAGACAATAAATGAACGAATGAAAATTATTTACTGTCTCCCCCAAAAAATGACACAATTACATAACAAAATGTAACCAAAAAATTGATAAGTTTTCTGTTATAAATTTCTATATTACCTCACACTGGTAGGCCAAAAACTCGGCCGCAGTCAAAGCCAGACGAGGAGTGATGATACGCTCGATAGTGGGATCGTTTGCCAAGTTCAAGAAGAGGCACACATTTTCCATGGATCCGTTTTCTTCGAAATCCTGTTTGAAGAAGCGGGCAGTCTCCATGTTGACACCCATAGCGGCGAACACAATGGCAAAGTTATCATCGTGATCGTCCAGGACTGACTTGCCTGGCACCTGAGAAATTACAAATAGAAATTACTAGCTGCACCTGTATTCTTGATTCGGATTCTTGATTTTCACCAGAGGGAGACTTTGTACAAAAGTCGATTGCTTGGGTACCTCTGTCCCATTCGTGTTTCTACCGTGAAGCAGTTGTGTTTGCATGGCTGTATTTCGGTTTGAAGGGTGACGTGAATTTACAGGGTACAGAAGAATAACACCTGAGTCCTCAGGAATGGCAACGTATGGGGGGTATCATGGGCGAAACAGTATACTCTGTTATGTCCATGCTACTGCTCATGTCTATAGGCGACGGTTACCACTTTCCATCAGGTGAGCCGTCAGCTTATTTGCCATTCTAAGTTGTATAAAAAATAATTCGGTATAAAAAATTTATGATGACCTAAATTAACTTTTAGTACACTTTGCGACCCAAGTTTTGTATACAAGATCAAAACCGTGGGTCACAGCGAATTCGAAACAAATACGGCTGGACGTTGTTTCGAATTCACAGGACAGTCCAACGAGAGAAACAAAAAAATTTTTAAAATCCCACACTAACTTAACAAATGGATTCGTAGTAGTATAAGAGGCTCGAATTTTTTACTTCAATCTATAAATCTTTTGGGAAAATGTTCAGTTTCAAATATAGAACACTCATCTAAGAGTGTTCATAAGGAAGAATGGCAATATTGCAATAACATACCAAAATTTTTTGCAAAAAAAAATTTTTGAAATATTCAATACCTCTGGTTGATTGTTTAAAAAGTGGTCGTATGGGGAACTAATTAATAATTGATTAATTTTATAGAATATGTTACATATAAATCTATACCAATATTATAAAGGAAAAATAACTTATTGTTGGTCGATATGAATTAACTTAAAAACCCCTCAACTAATTTTAATATATCTTTTACCTATAAAAGCTATATTAATTAACAAATTTTCAGTGACATCTTAATATGTATATAATTGTGAGATTAACGATTTAGTTCGTAAACAGAACACTTTTTAAATAATCAGATTTATTAAAAACCATTTATTTTTGAAAATTAACAGATAATTGCGACATCCAATATGAAAACTTAATAATGCTAATAACTTAGATTTAACCCTGTTTAATACGAATATCAATACGGATATCATACCTTGACCAGACCAGCTTGCCTACAGATCTGGGCGGCGATTTCATTGTGCGGCAGACCGGCAGCTGAGAAAATGGGGATCTTCTGCCCACGGGCGATTGAGTTCATCACGTCAATAGCGGAGATACCTGAACGGGAACAAATATGCATATCATAGTGTAAACTAGATTTCTATTCCATTTTCAAATATTAAAAAAAATATGCAATATAGTATAAACAAAAAATCTGGTTTTATTAGTGGACATTTCCTTAAGGATAAAATACATAAGCAAGTGACTAAACATATATTTTTATAGGTAAAAGTACTAAGTAAAAAGTACACTACGAGGTTTGTCCGGAAAGTACGTATAAAAGTTTTTTAAAAATTTTATTTTACAATTATTCAGGTAAATCAATTTTATCCCCTTCAAAGTACTCCCCCTGTGACATAATGCACTTGTGCCAACGCCGTTTCCACTGTGAGAAGGCTCCTTGAAAGTCCTCTGGTTGTAGGTTTCTCAGCTGCCCCGTCCTAGCTTTTTTTATCTCATTTATGTCCCCCAAATGCCGCCCCCGAAGTACCAATTTGGTTTTTGGGAACAAGAAGAAGTCACACGGGGCCAAATCCGGCGAATAGGGGGGGTGTTCGGTCACCGTAATGGAATTTTTACTCAAAAACTCACGGACAACAAGAGAGGTGTGGGCAGGGGCATTGTCGTGGTGAAGAATCCAACGCCCCTCTCGCGCCAATTCTGGACGAACTCGTGCCACACGAGCTTTGAGGCGTCTGAGCACATCGACGTAGAATTTTCCATCAACTGTCTGGCCTGGAGGGACGAATTCTTGATGGACAATCCCCCGAACATCGAAAAAAACAATCAACTTGAACGCTTTCTCGGCCCTCTCTGAATCTTTTTAGCCACTTGTGGACGGTTGGTTCCTTCACAGCATCATCCCCATAAACTGTTCTGAGATCGGCAAAAATTTCACGGCCATTCTTGCAGAGTTTCGAGAGAAACTTGATTACGACGCACTGCTCTTCAACGGAAGCGGGCTCCATGCCGACGGGGTTTCGTTAAGAGGTAACTTCACAGATGGCGTGACAAGCCAGTTCGCACCGCACGGCGGTCAGACCAGAACTGAAGCATTGTTAGGGACATAAGGAAGGGGTCCTGCGCTTACCTGGCCTCCCCACTCCTCTTTCTCGCATTCCAGAACACTTTTATACGAACTTTCCGGACAGACCTCGTATACATTTTAGAAATAGGTAAAGAGAATGGCACTTCAAAATCACTCACAATGTGAGCAAAGATGGACTTATCTTTAAAAGAAAGAAATCTCTTCCAGTCACAAACAAATTATTATAATAAAAACATACCAGTCTGAATCATCTCCTCAGGGTAGATACGAGACCAGGGGTTGATGGGCTGACCCTGGATGTCCAAGAAGTCCTCAGCCAGGATTGGGGGACCTTTGTCGATAGGCTTGCCTGATCCGTTGAATACACGACCTGTATGAAAGAAATTACCTCTGTATAGCTTATCTGTGGCAAACATAATATACATATGAAGCAATTTTCACTACATTCAATTCTAATCTATATATGTATATACAAAAAGGATGCTGATGCTGAAACTGCTGAATTTAAAATCTTGAAATTTTGCAGGTAGGTTTTTTATATGGCGTAAGTGAACAATACTAAAGGAATTTTGAAAATTCAAACTGTAAAGAAATAAAAGGGGGATTGAAAATCTATATATACGCCAGTTTAGAAGTTGACATGTATATTTTTAGATTGAGGCTATTGATTGACAACAAAAATTAATATATTTATTTCATTTTTTTAATTTATTAATATTCTTATATTAATAAATTAAAAAAAAGGAATAAATATACTACTATATGAGGTTCTTCGAAAAGCGCCCAAAATTTCTTAAGTGTCAGCAACACGGCCGTAATATCCCTGGTGTTACCAACGTCTCTAAGCTTCGATAATCGCATTTACCATCAGATTGGCCATATGCTTGTTTGTCGCTATAGTAGTATAAAAATAGAATCGAAGATTGTTATACAAAAAATAATAGATACAAACAAATTCTAGTCTAATTATAATTATTCTTTTGAAATTGAACACCTACCCAACATGTCTTCAGACACGGGTGTGCGCAAAATGTCTCCAGTGAACTCGCAAAGTGTGTTCTTGGCATCAATACCCGATGTGCCCTCGAACACCTGGACGACGGCCTTGGAGCCGCTGACCTCCAGCACCTGATAGAATAAATAAATAAATAGCTGTAAATGCGTTTGCAAAACCAAATTATATAGCCCTGTTATTTACTTTTTAAATCAATAATAATTCAAATAAAAGAAATAACAACATATATGTAAATCGCTTGACAATCTTGGTAGTGTTGATAGAGCAGTAAAGACCCTGTCTCAACTTTCAATGGTTAGAAGTCCCACAGAACACAAACATTTGTATTCATGAGTATGTCTATTTGTATTGGTCTGGGTGTTTTCTATTCATAATATGTACATATTTACAAAAAAAGTATTAAAGTAGTATGTATCTCTACCTATATAAATAAAAAAATAAAATGTCTGGTATGAAGATCTACTTTGGAACTAGATGCTCCTACGAAATATGTCCAAGGGTATTTATATAATAATAATAATAATAGCCTTTATCTAACAACCTTTCTTACAATACAGTTACAATAATAATTATTATGTTATGTCCATGGTATTGCTCATGTCTATAGGTGACGGTTACCACTTTCCATCAGGTGGGCCATCAGCTTGTTTGCCATTCCAAGTTGTATAAGAAAAAATATTATATTATTAATTTAAAATCCTAATACACATTCTAAAATTTACAGAAGGAAAAAAATTAATAAATTTATAAAAAATTTGTTTTTAAAAATACATCAATGCTAATTTAAGAATTGTATATTTACCTGACCGGAGCGTAGGGTGCCATCAGCAAGCTTTAACTGTACGATCTCTGAGAATTTGGGGAATTTGACCTCATCTAAGATGACCAGAGGCCCGTTCACACCAGACACTGTCTTGTAGGCTGAGGACAAAGACAGGTTTTATTTGTTGTTTTAATAAAAAACTAAAATTTTCTATTGCTACGAATGTATAATAAAAAAAATTATGAAATTTTCTGTGGAAATAAAAATATTGCTATAATTGTTTAGTTGCAAGGCTTGCATCATGATGCTCTAGGCAGGTTAAGGTAACTATAGTCAGTTGATAGATAGACAAATTATAAAATCAAAACATAGGCAAATGATTGAAAATGTCATCACCTGAAAATCATGTGACAAAATTATCTTTAAGAAAAATGTACTTTCGATCTTCTGTTTATTTTAAATGTAGAACAGACCAAAAAGATATGAAAAAGTGATATTGTTACTTTTCTTAATTTTTACAATTTTTAATTACTTAATCCTTATTTATGTGACATTTATTTATTTGTAAAATATCAAGTTGTTACACAAAGATCTAGTTTTAACCATTTAGTTATAGTTACCAATGCTTGACTCATAAATTGGCAACTTAAATGTTATTTATTTTTTAATGTTTCTATGATAAGTAATTTTAAAATGTTGTACCAATTTTCTCTATTTTTTTTTTTATTCACTGTAAATGTTAAAATAGACAACTGAATAAATATAAAACTGCCCTATTGGATATTTCCAACAGAACTGCTTCAAACAAAAAATATATATCATGGAATCTGATTAGGGGTTACAAAATATACAAAATCTGGAAACTATAATCTGTTAACTAATAAGAAATATTATATATAATATTAGTTAATACTGCTCAAATAATAGTTACCTAGAAAATCCTATAAGTGATTTTAAAAAAATATTTGTCATTGAGTTTCTTCGGGGATCTATGAACATTGATATGAAACCCTGAATAATTTGTATAAGATTTTTGAGAACTTTGATGGCGTAATTGGGTAATATCTGTACTACAGACTTGTGATTAATGGGTGGCCTTAAGATTAAGTAGTCATATGACCAATGTAAACTTCTTCCCGAGCATAATACTAAATTAAACAGCATAAAACTACCCAGTGTCCCAGATCGGATTAATATTACAAATTAAATAAACATATAATCAAATCTACGCTCTACTACGGACCTACATAGACATACAAGACCATCAAGAAGGTGTATCAAAGTAAAAAATGTTATAATTTTAATTGAATATCTTTATACTTTTTAAATTCAAATCCTTTACATAATCCACTAATATAACAAATAATAAACCTAGTAGTCTCTCGACGAGGAGTGTAAAATCGATAATTTCATTGACAATGACGTTTTATGGATAGGTAAAGAAAAATGGACAATTCCACTTACTCAGACGGGGTTGGGAAATGAAATCCCGGGATACCGCCAGGACATGTTCCTTATTCGCCTGGGAAGCTGAGATGGTCTTTGCCATTTTTAAGTTTCACTATTTTGGCAGACCGTTCAATAAAATACTAAATTCCACTGCCCCTAAACCGAAACTGACGAATGGATGAATTGTCTATGCTCCTTCACGTGCCGTCACGTGACCTATCACAAGATAAAAATTGCCATATTATAATTAAAAATTTACCCCACAATTATTGAAGAAAAATTTAAAGTTTACAATTTGTGGTGTATCCTCCACAGCACTGTAGGTTTTTAAATTAATATAGACATGTTAACTATTTTTTTTATTATTTTACTGAAAGGTCTTGTTTTACGGAAGTCGAAATTAATTAATTAATATTAACTAGTGCAGAAGTCAATGAATGTAGATTATTGATTACAAATGTAAGTATTATATAATTGTAAATATCTAAGAGTAATATATAAATTTAAAAGAAGCATATAAATGGCTGTAACGAATTACTCTTACAGCCACTACAAATCTATACAAAATTTGTAGAGGCTAGTTGCATTGAATTGTTTGCTTGTAAACTAAAAAATAATATATACTTTCTGAATTTTGCGTTTTTAAATTAATTAATATAACTTTAGAAAATAATATTATTTTATAGAGTAAATATTGTAAATTATAAAACTTTAATATAGCTACTGTTAATAAATTAAGCATGTATTAGTATCTTTTTTAAAACCTACGTTTACTTTATTATTGTTAAATAAAAAAACTTTGTAGGCTGAGAAAATTATAAAAAATTGTATTTTAAATCATTCATTTCAACGTATTTTAAAAGCGATTAAAATAATAAGATTACAAATGTTTGTCATTTGTATAAAAATAAAAATATTATGTTGGTGCGAGTTTATTTTTAATCCGCTTATATACATATATATTTTTCGTTGTATATTGTATTATATGACATAATGCCTTTAAACACAAAACAGCCAATATAGTGCTCAAAATTTTTTTCCAAATATTTCAGGCAATGGAATGGACGTTGAAAATAGAAACACTAAATCGGATTCACCTTTATCTATGATTTACAGTTTCGTACACCATCTAAGGTATATTCTAATACCTATTAATTGTCGCCTACATTATTACTTAGATACCTACAATAAGACCGGCTATTAGATATCAATAATTTACTGTGTTATGTGTGTTTATAACAACTATATTCTAATATATTATTATGACACCTATATTAACATTTTCTAGTTTTACTCCTGTTTGACATAAAGTTAAAAACCTCGATCTTTGTTCCACACTTTTTTTTTATATTCGATAACTGTCGGGTGTCAGTGTACTGTCATCAAATTGTCAATATTGTTGTCTATTCTTTAATTTTTTTAGTTTGTAATCGGCGGCCGGTTTAGTGGTTGTTTCTTTGGTTTTAAAATATTACTTTGGAAAAAAAATAAACAGCGTCGTATTTTAAATGTACTTTTTTCCATTTTAAATCATAAATTACAGTAAAAACCCCTCTATACTGAATTTTAGTAATATTTAATTAGAAGTATAACTACAAAATGTCTGTAATGGGTAAAATTATTATACCCCATGTATCAAGTCTAAGTTTTAGTAGATTCAGTGCCGCGTTGCTCAGTGCTAGAGCAAATAGGACCTATTTTACTTACACTCAAGAATTATCTCAACCTTTGGATAGGAAACCAGAAATTTTACCAGCAAAAGAAGTGTTCCAAAAATGTTTGCAATCTTGTAAGTACTTAACACCTTTGCAGTATTTTCGTAGCACTCTGCATAACTAACATTAAAATATTTGTTCCAAGGAATATAGGTACGTCTAGATATTTTTAAATATATCGAAATTCGTTCTGCTATTCTTAGCCGTATGTCTAGACGTCTTTTTTTATAAATAAATATTTTATGTTTTTGTAACCGCTCTAAATAATTGTTAGCGTATGAATCCTACCTATTATATCAACGGGTTCTAGCTATTAAACAAACAATTGCCAGGTCATAGTTATTTAGATGGTCTAAAGTTCACTATTAGTATCTGTGTATCCTTTTTAACTTTATCCACAAGGAAATAAAGTTTAGAATTGTTTGATGTCGAATTAGTCATTGTAAGGCGTTTACTGTGATATTATGGTAATCTACCTGTTTCCGTAGTAAAAAATCATATAATTAGCTACTGAGATGAATATGTTAAAAATTATAAGATTATAAATTTGAATTCAGCATTTAACTTTTTCATAAATCTATCCACCATCTAATCGTATTAATCTACTAGCTCAGGTTGTGACGTCTTTCGCGTGATTTTAGTATTTTCCCGTGGGAATGAGACATTTAACTGCAGTAAAAAATATCCAATGTGTTTCCCAGGGACTAAGTGGTCACCAAACCAAAATATAAAAACATGTCAGTACTTTTGAAGGAGTTTATGCATAGACACAATCTAGTTACAAATTTGTTATGTAATTCACAAACCCTTATTTTTGTTTCTCAGTTAGATAGGTATACCACTGTATTTTAAATGAAAAATCCACATTGTATACTTATGTAACATAATATAGATGTTATTTTTGTAATTTCATATTAGAATTAAATCAGAAACTTTAACTCATCCAATGTTCATTGGATTTTTATAAAGAATTAGTGTGAAATATCTAAAATCCTGCTTTGTTATTATAGTAACATTTTTATTCTAAACTCACAACTTTTTCTTTTTTGATTAAAATTTTGGATTGGAAGAATTTTGATTTGTTGCAATTATCATATAAATTTCTAGTCTTTACTACATAATAATAGTTTAATTATTTATGATAATTAATACAAAAAGTAAATAATATTTAATAAAAAAAAAACTCTTTGTTCTGTTGGGTGTTGTTAAATGTATTGGCACTTAGTGAAATTTAGTTTTTTTTTTAAATGTGATATTTACTCTTTGTAAACAAAAATACATTTTATTATTCTTTTTTATTTTCTACACTATTATTTTAAATAAAGACTGTCTATTATTTGTATGAAGTGTAGAATAAGTATTCAGTATATAGTAACAGATTATATTAATAAATGTTACAATTGCTGTAATTAGAAACTAAAATCTGCATTGTTCTATATTTAAAAAGATACACAATCAATGAATAATATTACTGGGCATCAATACCCAAACATTTTTTTTTTATTGTTTAAGTTTAGAATCAATGTCTTTCATTATATGCTAATGTATTAACTGCTCATTATCAGTTATATAAGTATTACATTAAGTTAAGATGGGTAACAGTAAATACTGTAATTTCTTCATGTATTTGATAATATAAATAATGATAATTATAATAACACATAAAACCTATTTTTTATAGAATTTATATGGAGAAATAAGGTACTAAACATTAACTGTACATATAAACAGCACCATAGACAATATGAAATACACTTTGATACCCATACCCCTCATTTTTGAGGACTAAGATATTATAGTACCATATCTTGTAATTTCTCTTCCATATTCTACCCTTCATACTGAAACAGCCATGCAAGTCAACTGTTTTTTTTTTATCATAAATGAATGGAACAGAGATAAATAAACTGATGATTTTTGTACATATCTATATCTGATTATTTAAAATGCTCTTTAAATTATATCTTCACCTTGACAACTCTGAATAAGATGTGTTCTTTTATTTTAGCTCAAATGTGTTTTTATTGAAAATTATTGGCACTTTGCCTAAACTGCTGTTGTGAGATAGGTAGTAAAATTTTTTTTTTACTGTCATGAAAAGATGTGTTTAATGTATTTATGTCATGTCACATATGACAAGTTCAATACTATCTAAGTTCATATTAGGGTTCTTTAACACCATTTCAACTATTCAAACATTGAAGTTAATACACTAATAATTATTTTACATGTACTAATATTTTTTTCAAAATGTATGCATTATTGTGGCACCTTTTGATATAGGCAAGGTTTGATTTCCAGTACAGTCAATTTATTTAATATTTATTAAATAAATTAACTGTACTGACTTAGATTCTGAATGGTGTGTGATATACAGAGATAGAAACTAATTGATCTATGTTATGTCCATGGTACTGCTCATGTCTATAGGCGACGGTTACCACTTTCTATCAGGTGGGCTGTCAGCTTGTTTGCCATTCTAAGTTGCATAAAAAAAAGACAGATAAGATTAGTATTTTTTTTTAAATAATAAAATTAAAATACACAATTTCACAACACATATGCAATTAAAGATAGATTTTAAAAATTCCTTTATGTACTGGATATAAGGGGTTTACATGAGCGAAGCTATGAAAAAGGACTTATTTGAAGTAATATTTGTATTTCTTATTTATCCAACAAAGTAATGTTTATACATGACTTTGTTATCGATATAATAGAAATATAAAAAAACTGTTCACTTATGTGAACAGTTTTTTTTAATGGATGATAATGGAATGGTAACCCAACCTACACTATCAGTATACACCGGCGGGACACCAGTGAAGGATGATAGGTCAAGATGAAGTAGGTCAGTTAGCTCATCATGATGAATTCAACAAGAATTGTTCACAATGGTTTCTAGGGGGAACCACATGAAGGTCGAGCTAATAAGGCATATTGCTAACAATGGGGCTGTCAAACTCCATTGCTAACAATCCCTGTCCCCCCTATAAGTGAATAATAGGTATTACTCAGATTATATAGCAGATATGAATAAAAAAGTTAGATATAACTTTTTTTTATTAGATATAAGTTATTGTTTGTTATAGATAAGTTTAAATTGTAATCATTATATTAATAAGATCATAATAATAGAATCATAACACAGTAAGTTAATTAAATTCTCGATATCTAGTATCACATATTAATTCGATGTAAATCTTTACCGGATCTTTACTATGTGGATAACCAGTCTAAAACTGGTTCTATACTTATAAATATGGAGACTTTTTTACCATTTAATTTTTCCATATAATCCACTTAATGGTCATCTTAATTGATTAATTTTTGTTATTTTGTTAAATAACAACTGAAATAATTAGTTTAATTGTGCATTTTTTTTATGGCTGATAATGGAATGGCAACCCCACCTGCGCTAACGGTATACACTGGCAAGGCACCACCTCACCTACCATCGAAGGATGGTAATTGAGGTGGTGCCCTGGTGAGGATGAAAATGCAAGGTCAATTAGCCCATACACTTTGAATTCAACACGATAGTATCCAGGGGGGATCATGTGGAGGTCGACCTGACTGAGAGCATTGCTAGCAATGCGACTGGTAGTTTGCATTACTAACAATCCTTCCTCTCCCTTATTTATGCGTTATTAGTTACGTACATACGTTTATAAACTATCGCGTCGTGCAACTCTAGTGCGTTAGACTTTTATTTTATTTATTTAATTCTTTATTGTACACACCAGTTATATGACAGAGGTAATCAGATGTACAAAGGTGAGCTTAACTCTGATGGAGTTGTCTTACAGCACACAGATCTTCATAGTGACGTTTATTATTTTATACCTTAATTAATTTTTTAGTGATAAAACTGGTGTTATTAGATTTATTAAGTGACATGTTTCATATTTATATAATGTTTTTGTTGTAATACAAAATAGATTGTAAAACTATCGGAAGTGTTTTTTTTTTTTTTAATAACTAATATTATAAATGTTTTACGAATATTATTTAGAATCATTAAAAAAAAGACGAGGTTACAATTTTTGTTATTAAAAAAAGTACTAAACCACCAAAGTCGTTGAATTATAACAGAAACACAAAAAAAAATCGTTAAATTATTGTTTTTTTTTTTCTTCGCGGACGTGTTTATCATTTGGTGTACAAAGGTTAAAAATGTTTTTGTCTTGTAATCTTAATGGTTAACCTCTGTACTGTAAACATGTTACAATAACAACATAAACAAGTTATAGTAACTATTGTATATAGGTAATTAGTGAAATTAAACCTCTAATTGGTTTTTTTCACTCTGCGTATTATAAACAATCTTGACAAGTTTTTTATCAACATTTTTTTTACTCTGCGTACTATAGACAATCTTGACAAGTTTTTTATCAATATTTTTTTTTTACTCTGCGTATTATAGACAATCTTGACAAGTTTTTTATCAATATTTTTTTTTACTCTGCGTACTATAGACAATCTTGACAAGTTTTTTATCAATATTTTTTTTTTACTCTGCGTATTATAGACAATCTTGACAAGTTTTTTATCAATATTTTTTTTTTACTCTGCGTATTATAGACAATCTTGACAAGTTTTTTATCAATATTTTTTTTTTACTCTGCGTATTATAGACAATCTTGACAAGTTTTTTATCAATATTTTTTTTTTACTCTGCGTATTATAGACAATCTTGACAAGTTTTTTATCAATATTTTTTTTTTACTCTGCGTATTATAGACAATCTTGACAAGTTTTTTATCAATATTTTTTTTTTACTCTGCGTATTATAGACAATCTTGACAAGTTTTTTTTTTATTCGTTATTTAAAAGCATACATACACAGAATAATAATGCAATATCAATTTATGTACACAATATATCTTTTTTTTTTCCGCGTACAATCTCGATAGGTTTTTTTTTTAAAAATTATTTATTTAAAAGCCTATTTTTCTGTGTCCTAACACAGAATACAGTTGTAGCACTTCAGCTGCCTGCTAACGACATGCTTTGTCACTGTACTGGGTCGACTGGAAGAGACCTCTGTCAGAGATAAGTCCACCCTTGCTCACAACATTTATAAATGCATTATATTAGTAGTTTTTGTGTGGCACCAAAACCAAATTGTGGTGTTCACAGTTGTGTTCCTAAAGATGTCTAACTTACAGTCAAATGTATGTTTTATTTTACACACTATCTAAAAATGGTGTATTTTTCATTGGTTTTCCTATTTCTGAAAACAAAGTAATTAAACAAAAGCTATTGCCAAATAAAAAATAAATCCTAAAAATATTATACATTCTATGTTGTAAGTAAAACGGTAAAACACTCATTAATAACTAACCTTGTGTTCTTGACCTGGTTGCTTTTGTCACATATTTACATAACCACGTAATTTGTGTACCTACCTACATATCTGCTTGATTATAGATTTTCCTTGTAATTTCTACTATACATGAATTCGTTATAACTACAGATGGGCAAAGCACCGGGTTTAAACCCGGTGCTTTGGTAAAAACCCAATAAACACCCATAAACTCCCATAATCACCCAAAAAATAGGTTTTTACGTATTTTTTTGAAAATATGTAAGTAATACCAATAAATTATTTTTATAAATTGTATTGATCAATTCTACAATATTAAATAAAACGTTAACTAATAATATTTCAGGAAATTTTAAAAATCTATATATAATAAAATGAAAGTAATTAATTTTCAGTGTTTTCATGTTGCAGTTGATCAACATGTTGGCCTTTTGCTTCCCGTAGATACTTTAAAATTTCTTCATAACACCTCGTTCGCACACATGGCCGTATATATTTAAATTCTTGAGCCACTAACAGTCCGAAATACTCATTTCTTTTATCCTCTTCTCCATAAATTAAGCATTTAGAACAGTTTGTTTCTTCTTTCAGTAAATTTTCTTTTACTTTATCCTCGTTTTTTTTATTTGTTGCGACGACGCTGGGTAAATCATCTGGACACTGGGTCTCACTATCACCAAATATATTTGGAGATCGGCTTCGGCTACGGCTTGGCAGACATTTTTTTCTTTCTACAATTTTAAATTAAATTTATTAGAATAAATGCTTCGAACACACGCGATCTAAGTACCTTTTGTGTTTATTATACCTTACCTACCTAGGTATAAAAAGAGTACTTACGTAGATTTTCTTTTATTAACTGTTTTATACGAAGATCTTGATCTCTCAAATTAGCATCCATTTTACTTCCAGTGATTATCAACTAAATTAATAATCCACAAAGTATTAAATAACGTTTTTATGAAATATTTAGCACAAAAACAATACCCTTTAAATATCGATCGTCAGTAACTGTGGCTGACTTACCTATATTCTAGCAAGCAGGACTGCCAGATGTGAAGGGGAAATCCCCAATAAATTGTTGCATGTGACTGATGATGTGAGCATGTTCGTTTCATAATAAAAATGTTGCCAGGTAACCAAAAAGTCGTATGTTTTTGTGCGAATTACGATCATAATCTTTACGATCGTACATTAAAAAATAGACAAATAATAGTATGAGTACGATTTAAATCGTATATCTGTCAACCCTGCTAGCAAGACAGCGACAAAATCACGTTGCATAACAATGTAGCCCAAGCTTATATCTTATGAAATATACGGAAGAGATACGGACTTAGAAAAAACAGAAATGTTGTTCTTTGTGGAAGTCATTGATGAAATTCTATGTATTTTAGCCCGCAAACTTTCTTCAAACAAAAACAGCGCCATCTAGTATCGAGTTCTGTAATTATCTCTTTGTTTATGGATTTGAAGTAAGACCGCCACGCATGCAATACATTATGACTGGGGATTCCCCTATTCGTCGACGCTGAATATGAGGCGACGACAATCACTGTCAAACGTGTTCACTATTACTCTGACTCTGGTAACGTGACTTCCTGGTAACGTGTTAGGTAGGAAAAGCAGTAAAAAAGTGCATATTAAGGGAGCAGATTTGAAATAATATTTATACTTAACAAGAAATAATTAAAGGTAAGTGGATTTTTGAATGATACAATTATATCATGATCACTTAACAATTTTAACTTAAAATTAGATGTATTATTACAAGCTTTTATTTAGCTTGCGTTATGTAAATAAAAGTATGTAGGTATGTTCGTATGTTGATGCAATTATCCTCAATCCTCAACCGACTGGGATAAAATTTTCCATACACGTTTATTTTGGATGATAGTGCATAGTTAGCTGAGAGTCGTCATTGGATAATAATGGTGGATAGCCTAAGATGTGTACTAGATATTTATTTTTAACATAATATGCGTAAGTACCTAATCGAATTAAAGAAGTTGCTGAGAAAAATACAGAACAATACGATAATAAACTAGCGTCTGCGTTTAATCCTCCGAGGAGATGTAATTTTACAAAGGTTTTTTGTATTTATTTTATTATTTTTTTAATAAATTTATTGTAAATAACAAGAAATAATCATTGTAAAAAAATAGGCACTCTATTGTTGAATTTTCGTCAGACCAACTAATCATCGTTCATTTTTTTAGGTTCAATGGGGAGACCTAAAGATTTACGCATATGGGAGCACTACCGTACTTTACCAAACAAGTCTGTTTCTTGCAAGCTTTGTAATAAGGTCTACAAATTCAGTAATGCTGCCAAAATGCTTCAACATCTTATCACTTGTCCAAAATCTCCAGAAACATTAAAAGACTCTATGAAACTTATAAAAGATAGCTCGTCCAAAACCAAAATGTCTGGACTGTCAGAGATAGAGACAAATGATTCTTTTATAAGCCCCTCGTCGTCTGCTAACACTACAATAAATGCTGAGTTTCAAGACACCGATGATCATATAAAAACAGAATTAGCGAGAGCTATATTTGTAACAGGGACGCCATTATCGATGGTGCAACATCCTTTATGGATACAATTTTTCGAAAAATTGCAACCAAAATTTAAAATACCTTCACGTAAAGCTTTAGCGACAAAATACTTAGATAAAATATATAGAGAAATGCGTTTTGAGTTAAATGAGGAACTAAATGCTTGTAGTTACTTACACCTTCAGTGCGATGGCTGGTCTAATTTAAGAAATGAAGGAATAATAAACTTTCTTATATCAAAACCTCAACCTGCATACGTTAAAAGTTTGAATACAGAAAGTAATCCTCACACTAGTGAATACCTTAGCCAAGAAGTTGAAAAAGTAATGAAAGTGTATGGAGCAAATAAGTTTCTTGTACTTATTGGCGATAACGCTAGAAATATACAAAAGGCATTCGAATTAACAAAACTCAAATATCCACATGTTGTTCCTCTCGGTTGCTGTGCACATATCCTTAACTTGTTGTGCCAAGATATTGTAAAGATACAAGAAGTAACTGTGTTTATTATGCAAGCCATAAATATAATAAAAACTGTTAAAAGGAGTCAACGATTAAGTTCCTTGTTGATAAAATCAAGGCAGGGTGAAGATTCTACACAAACACTAAAATTGCCTTGTGCTACAAGATGGGGAAGTCATGTTACTTCGTTAAAAAGTTTGAAAGCAAATAAGATAGCTTTGCAAATATTAACAGTTAGAGAAGATGTGGTAATTTCAAGAGATATTAAAGATTTAATTCTAAGTGATGATTTCTGGACGAAGACAGGGGAATGTATAAGTATTTTGGAACCAGTCACTGAAAGCATATTTTACTTAGAGAGCGACCAGAATCGTTTGCATCGCACATACATTACATTTAGAGATGTACAAGCTAAGATACGTTTTGCATTAAATGAGATTTCGACATTGAGCGAAGAAAGCAAACAGCAGATTCTAACATCAGTATCTTCAAGATGCAATATGGCAATGAGGCCAATACATTTTGCAGCATATATTCTAGACCCCAGGACTCTAGGAGTCGAACTTACTCAAGAGGAAGAACTTAAGGGTATGGAGTTTATCTACAATTTAAGCCAACACTTAAGTTTGTCAAATGTAATGGCAGATTTGGCGTGTTATAAAGCTAAAGAAAACTTTTGGGCCAGAGGATTTGTATGGAGCTCATTAGATAGCATTGAGCCCCTAATATGGTGGAAAGGTATTTGTGGTTCCACTGAGTTAAGCAAAGTAGCGATTCGTATTCTATCAGCTCCCTGTACTTCGGCAGCCACTGAGCGTTCCTTTAGTATCCAAGGCTACATACATAATAACAAAAGAAATCGACTTACAACTGAAAGAACTGAAAAAATTTCATTCATTTGTTATAACTGGAATCTTAAACATAAAGCTGAATGCGAGGACATTCAGTTTAATGAAGAAAATACCTTAGAAGCTTTCATTGAGCAAGTAAATGAACATAACAGTTTAGACGAAATAGAGCCTATCGAACCTATACAATTCATCGCTTGTAATAACTCTGAATCTGACAGTGATTGACTGTAGTTTTACATTTTACTTTCATCTCTTTCTTAATAAACTCAAAATCAAATTAAAAGTTTTTTATTCTGTAGGCTGCATAATAATATTGTCTATGTCCAGTATAGTGGACGTCTTGCGGCTGAGATGACGATGATGAAGTACAAAATCATAAACACCCAAAAATTTGGGTGTTTATGGGGTTTAAACCCAATAAACCCAAAACACCCGGTTTTTACCCACCAGACTTTAAACCCACCCAGGTGGATTGCCCATCTCTAGTTATAACCACTTTGTAAATGGTATATGAGTATCTATTTTAATCTTGCATATCATTCGCTGTCGAAATAAATATATTAAATACACCTGTTTACAAGCGTCAAACCGTTATTATAGTATTATTCCACGATTTTTTTTTGTACCACTGTGGTGGCAAACAAGCATACGGCCCACCTGATGGTAAGTGGTTACTGTAGCCTATGAACACCTGCAATACTAGAGGTAATACGCGTGCGTTGCCGACTCTGAAGAAACCTCTTTACCCCCCTTTTGAAGAACCCCATGCTGTAGTCTTTTGGGAAGACATCGGCAGGGAGCTCATTCCACAACCTGAATGTTCGTGGGAGGAAACATCTCTGAAACCGCGCAGTACGCGACCATTGAGGTTGTAGGACATGAGGATGAACTCCCTGTCGATGGCGAGCCGTACGATGGTAAAAAGTGGCTGTGGGCTTTACTAATGTTGTTATATATTTTTTTAAATTTGAAAATCATAGTAAATGGCAAGACAGTTCCATCGACAAGAGCGCAGCTCTATTGTAGAAAATAATGAATCTCTACTTCATGTCGTAGAATTTTAATTGTCCTGTTATCAAAACGGGCTTTAAAAAACTATTGTAATGTAACAACTTACACATACAATAACCCAATAACGAGGCTAATAGTGAAATGTTAAGACGAATTATCTTTTTTATGTAACTTAAAATCGCAAACAAGCTGACGTCCCACCTGATGGCAAATTGTAACCGTCGCCTATAGACATGAGCAGTACCATGTAAATAACAGAGTTATACTGTGTCGCCCATGTGTCACGAAGAATCGGCAACAAATTGCTATTTCTATTGGCATATTTAATATTATTTAACATGAGGTTTAGCCTCTTAAAAAATGCAAATATGTATTCTTAGACAAGTCTTTGTCCATAATTGAAAACTTCGCTCCGGTCCTAGGATGGGCACCAGTCAATTTTGGGGTGGGTATAACACAAAACCCCCAGGATGTTTAAATGCCTATGATTATTTCTCTTAGTTTTGATTATGCCATATTTAAAAAAAAATTGAAGAGCGGGTATACATTTAAGATTTTGCGTGACGAAATCAATGTATGAAACTAACACGGGAGTGGAAACCATTGATAGTAAAAAAATATTTTTGCAACCAAAAATCGCGTAAATAATTGTGTACACTCCAAAAAAGGCAGTGCATATTGGTGTTTGCATATATATTTTACACCAAACATCGAAAAATCCGTATATTTTATTGCGCAAAGAAGTGATTTTGTTCGTGAAAATACAAAAACAGTATTTACAATCAATGATGTATACATAAATATTTTGCTTTACACCAAGTATCGCAAAACGAGTATATTTTATTGTGCAAAAAGTGATTTCGATCGTGAAAAAGCAGAAACACTGTTTACAGTCATATATGTTTACATATAGATTTTGCTTTGCACCAAGCGTCACAAAACGTTGTATATTATACTGCGCAAAACAGTTATTTCAATCATGAAAACAGAGATAGTGTTTATAATCATTGGTGTTTACATATAGATTTAGCTTTACACCGAGCATCGCAAAACGAGTATATTGCGCAAAAAAGTTATTTCGATCGTAAAAAAGCAGAAACAGTGTTTAAAGTTATATATGTTTACATATAGATTTTGCTTTGCACCAAGCGTCACAAAACGTTGTATATTATACTGCGCAAAACAGTTATTTCAATCATGAAAACAGAGATAGTGTTTATAATCATTGGTGTTTACATATACATTTAGCTTTACACCGAGCATAGCAAAACGAGTATATTTCATTGCGCAAAAAAGTGATTTCGATCGTGAACAAAGAGAGTGTTTACAATCATTGTTGTAAACACTGTTTTTTATTAGTCTAGTCGATCGTGGCAAGGCAAAAAATATAATGTTTTGCTAATCTAGCGGAAGATGCTCAGCCGCAATGCTCACACTAATATAAATAAGTAGTTACTAAGAATAATTTTTAGTTTTGTTTTCCCTCTTAATAAAATATAAAGTACTACAATACTACATAATTGTGTACTGAACTATGTTGTTTCTTTTGTTTTTTCAAGAAATATGTAATTGGTAGATCGCACAGGGTTTCGTTAGTAAATAATAGATGTGTTGTCAAGCAGTTGTCTTTGCATGGCTGTGTTTCGGTTTGAAGGGTGGGATATGGCGTGAATTTACAGGGTACAGATGAATAACACCTGAGTCTTCAGCTAATCAGGAATGGGAACGCATGGGGGGTATCATGGGCGAAATAGTATACTCTGTTATGTCCATGGTACTGCTCGTGTCTATAGGCGACGGTTACCACTTTCAATCAGGTGGGCCGTTGGCTTGTTTGCCATTCTAAGTTGTATAAAAAAAAACCTGGATGTAGTCAAGTCGACCACCCAAGTATACATATAGATTTGCTTTCCTCTTTAACGCAAAAACTACTAAACAGATTTAAATAAAATTTGGTACACGTGAAGATTATATCCTGACATAACACATAGGATATCTTCTATAATTATTCAAACGAGCGAAGCCGCGTTACACAGCTAGTTAATAATAACGGAAAAAAAACGACCCAAATAAACTTTCTATTTATAACAATACTTATCGTTGTACGATGCAAATATTGTGGAAAGTCCAATAGGCATAATAAATTATTATGTAAAGACATTAGATAACCTCTCGCGATTGTAAGGTTAAGTTCAATAATCTTTACCCACATTGTCGCCAATGTCAGATAAAAGCCGAGTAGATTGATGGATCGAACTTTACGATGTATCAACGTTTTTATTTCTCACTAGCAGTTTACCGCGGCGTTGCCCGCTTCTAACTATATAGTTCGGGAGGGATTGTTAGTAATGGAGACTGAGAATCTCATTGCTAGCAATATACCCAACCAGGTCCACCTCCTCGCGGTTCCCCCTGGAAACTATCATGGTTAATTCCTGATGAATTCATCATGATGGGCTAACTGGCCTGTTTTCATTCTCATCTATCACCCTTCACTGGTGCTCCGCCAGCGTATCCCGTTAGCGCAGGCGGGGTTACCATACCATTTTACCCATCAATAAAAAATATATATAGTTCCTGTTTATCATTCCCATTGGAACCTTTCATGAATTCGGTCTTATATTGTATTATACGAGGTTTGTCCGGAAAGTACGTATAAAAGTTTTTTAAAAATTTTATTTTACAATTATTCAGGTAAATCAATTTTATCCCCTTCAAAGTACTCCCCCTGTGACATAATGCACTTGTGCCAACGCCGTTTCCACTGTGAGAAGGCTCCTTGAAAGTCCTCTGGTTGTAGGTTTCTCAGCTGCCCCGTCGTAGCTTTTTTTATCTCATTTATGTCCCCCAAATGCCGCCCCCGAAGTACCAATTTGGTTTTTGGGAACAAGAAGAAGTCACACGGGGCCAAATCCGGCGAATAGGGGGGGTGTTCGGTCACCGTAATGGAATTTTTACTCAAAAACTCACGGACAACAAGAGAGGTGTGGGCAGGGGCATTGTCGTGGTGAAGAATCCAACGCCCCTCTCGCGCCAATTCTGGACGAACTCGTGCCACACGAGCTTTGAGGCGTCTGAGCACATCGACGTAGAATTTTCCATCAACTGTCTGGCCTGGAGGGACGAATTCTTGATGGACAATCCCCCGAACATCGAAAAAAACAATCAACATTGTCTTGACATTTGAGCGGGATTTTCTTGATTTTTTTGTTCGTGGTTCCCCGGATGTCTTCCACTCTTTGCTTTCACGGCCATTCTTGCCGAGTTTCGAGAGAAACTTGATTACGACGCGCTGCTCTTCAACGGAAGCGGGCTCCATGCCGACGGGGTTTCGTTAAGAAGTAACTTCACAGATGGCGTGACAAGCCAGTTCGCACCGCACGGCGGTCAGACCAGAACTGAAGCATTGTTAGGGACATAAGGAAGGGGTCCTGCGCTTACCTGGCCTCCCCACTCCTCTTTCTCGCATTCCAGAACACTTTTATACGAACTTTCCGGACAGACCTCGTATACTTAAATGATAATTACATACCTAATACCTTCATAAACTTTCAGCCAATTTAACTGATCGGTTATTTTATAGTATTTTATTTGTGATTCTTTAGATTGATGTAACTTTTTAATTTATGAACCGATTGAAATAAAACATTACGTGTAGTAAACCGCATTGAAATCGGTTAAGCCGTTTCTGATATTCGCGTGAGCAAACGTACAGCCACACAGAGAAAACTTCTAAAAATCATTGTTTTGGGTTCTGTTGCTTTCATAAAACCTCCCTATAATAATTTTTCTTATATATCTTCCATGTACAGACAGCGATCAGTTGCGATTTTATTATATGTATTGACTGATAAGATGTTTATGAATCATAATATTTAATATGATTATAAGCGCTATGAAAATAACTACATTTTTAAACGATACCCAACAAGCGCTTACAGTTCTCGTTTTGTTTATATTTTTATTTTTCATGTATGCACATTGTCAAACGACTTCAAAAACAAGGAGAGGTTCTTAATTTGATTCTTTTTTTTTCTGTTTCTCACCTCATTTAACTCCGTTAGTTCTAAACCGATTTGGTTTTTTTTTAGAAAGATATACTTACAGATTGGTACCATAGAAATTTTATCAAAATCGATTCAGTATTTTTTTTTATACAACTTAGAATGGCAAACAAGCTGACGGCCCACCTGATGGAAAGTGGTAACCGTCGCCTATAGAGATGAGCAGTACCATTGACATAACAGAGTATACTGTTTCGCCCATGATACCCACCCATCCGTTGCCATGCTTGAGGGACTCAGGTGTTATTCCTCTATACCCTGTAAATTTACTACTTTATCCCACCCCTCAAACCGAAACACAGCCATGCAAACACAACTGCTTCACGTAGTTTAATTTTGTCAATCAAAATAATTGATTTTGTCGCAATGGAAGTCGATTTTTTTTTTGAGTCCTTTTTTATCTCTTTATTTAAAGGCTTTTATCCTATAAAGATATGTCAGCCTCATCATACCCTAATTTTAAAAAATACCTCACATACTTAAAACATTTATACATAAATAAATAATACATAATATCTTAGCAGTGTATTTTGATAAAGGGAATTATTGATACAAAAATATAGTAATTAAAGATTTTGCCATTCCGGAATGTGGTTCTGCGAGTATATTTTTGCAAATAAACCAATCTCCTGTCTATTGAGACTATATTTCTGTATCAATACATCCCTTTGTGTTTTGTATTTCGTACATTCGGATATCATATGGTGAACATCATCCAATGTGTTACAAACATCACAATATGAGTACTTTAATTATCCGCGATATTTTCGCCGATTCAACACGCACAGCCAAGTGACAAACTAGTATGTCAATAGAATCGTTTCGTTTCGTATGAGAAAGAACAAGACACCTGTTCTCGCTATTTCATTCTGTTTCATGGACTCAAGAGTCTATCGATAAAATCTTTCGTCAAGGTGGCTTGATTTTTTTAGTCCCTTTTGCAATCAATACGGTTTAGCTTAATATATATCAATTTTGTCATGTGGTCCGGCATAGAATGGGCCACCCCTTCCATTGCCGTGGGTATCGTAAGCAGCGACTAAGGGAACTAAATGGTCGAGAGATAGGCAGCAGCGTTTCTCTTAAAACGTCACCAAAACTACAAATAAAATTAAAGCCCTTACTGAAATCAATTTGATCTGACTACACACTTATAGCAGAGATCTTGCCAAAAAAAAAACATATTTGTATGCCTCTTATGTAGTGTCTAATAAAGAAATATTTTCCAGGTCAGACAGTCTTCGTCCAGGGTGCGGCGGCGACGCCCAACTCGCTCCTGACAGCTATGACGGAGGTGGGCAAGAGCAATTCTCTTCAAGGCATCAAAGTAGTGCACATGCACACCGAGAAGGAGGCACCTTATGTGGCGCCCGAGTGCAAAGATATATTTAGGTTAGTAATTTAGTATTTAACGATCTGAGGGCCTACCATGAAATGTTTTCCGAAATTTCGGAGCCAAACGAAACAATTTTGATGTTAAATTACATAATACATGCCGTTTGGAAATATTAAAAATGTTAAAATATTGTTCCTTTGGACTTTTATGATAGGATGTATGACGAACAAAATGTTAAACTCCATTTATAGGTCCGATTTTGGTATAAACAAAAACACGAAATTGAGTCCGAAATTTCGGAATTTCATTTCATGGTAGACCCGCTGCACGCCTCGACTTTGCACGGATATACTCATAAAGAAAATGGGACCAAATATGCCCCATATGTTTTAACCCAAATTTTTCATTTTTCTTACAATTTTGCAAACATTTTATTCCATACAAACCTTATACTGGCAATTACAAATATAACAAAAAAAAAGAATTAGCTAAATAGGTACAGTCCTTCTGAAGTGATGCGTTCGACAATTGATTTTTATTTATATACATTACCAGGTATAGGGGCTTTAAGAAAAAAGTAATGGTTTTTCAGGAATAACGACGTATAAGAGGTACTATAAACGTCACAGTGTATTCTGTGATACCTACGGTGCTTTTTTTTAAGGGGTGATAATGATATGGTAACCACGTCTGCGCCAGCGGCACACATTGGCGGGCCACCAGTGATAGATGACTGTTGAGGATGAAAGCAGGTCAGTTAGCCCATCCTGACGAATTCAATTATAATTGGCCACGATGTTTCCAGGGGGAACCACGTGGAGGTCGACCTGACATACCCATATTGCTAGTAATGGGGCTATTTATTCATTTTCCATCAGTTTGTTTATCTACTTGTGCTAGAAAAAAAAAAGGTGGTAAACAAGCATACAGCCCGTCTGATTGTAAACGGTCACTGTAGCCTATGGACACCTGCAACAATAGAGGTATTACGTGCGCTTTGTCGAACGTTACGTTGCATTGCGTCATTGGTCGTTAAATTTTGGATTACACTACGGATTTTGACGAAATTTGGTACTGACGATAATTTAACGTTCTAAAGGTCAGTGAATGTCGTATAGTATGTAAATAAAAATTCACCGCGCGTGCGACAAGCAAACACAGCAACTAAAATATAAAAATACACTGTATGTACTTGTAAAAAATATTAAACGAAAACAAACTAACTAAAAACCAATTTATGTAGTCTCATACCTAGGTCAAACGGTCGTTAGCGTTTGTGGTAGTTTACAACTGGCAGGAAAAGGGGGAAAGGGATTGTTAGTAATGGAGACTGAGAATCCTGTTGCTAGCAATACACCTAACCAAGTCGACCTCCTCGCGGTTCCCCCTGGAAACTATCGTGGTTAATTCCTGATGAATTCATCATGATCGGCTAACTGGCCTGTTTTCATTCTCATCTATCACCCTTCACTGGTGCTCCGCCAGCGTATCCGGTTAACGCAGGTGGGGTTACCATTCCATTTTCACCCTTTAAAAAAAAAACTGGCAAGAAAAGGATAAACTCGCTTGAAGTCTAAATTCAAATAAGTCTGGGTCATACTGAACATTTGAGGTTTTTTTTATTATTTATTTATTTATTCTTTATTGCACAATAAAACTTTGTACAAGTAGCGAGCTTAATGCCATATTCTCTACCAGCTAACCATTAGGGAAAAACAGAAAGCGTATGAAGGGCAGATGTGGTTAAAAATATGTGACGTAATTATAGTAATATTAAGTCGTTAAATTATTTTTTTACTACAGTTAGTAAATTCGTTTTAGCATGTTATCTTCTTTACCTACTTTATAGCTTATCAGTGCAAATACGACGTTAAAATCTTATGTTTTTAAATGTTTATATAATAGGTATACGTATTATATATAAGTATTAGAATTCAGAATAAAAAAAAAGTAAAAATGCTAAATTTACAAAAGTTTTTACAATAATAATAGTTTCTTCATATTTTATTCCATTTAACGGACGCCATTTGCGTCTATCAAAATAATAAATATTAGGGATGAAAAAATTTCTTTGCTCTTAAATTGCTCTGCCGTTGTAACCGAATCAAAACCCTACCAAAGAAACCTTACCTAATAAAATGTTTTGTATAAAGGACAGTAAACCTTTTGTTAATTTACCGACATACCTACCTGACCGTTACGTCATACGGGCGTGGCGTCTGCGCAGAGATACAAAATATTCAGATACAGTTAAAAATAGCACGTAGTGAACAAAGGAGTCCGAGCTTTTTATATCATTTACGGCCTATATTTAATACATTAACAATAAAGTTTAAAAACTAAACTAGAGTAACAGATTAGGAATAAATCATTACTAGAATAGAATTTAGAAAAAAAGTAGCCCGTCAGTATAAAATTTAAAATTTCAACTGTCATCCGCACCTTGTTACAATGAGTTGAGCATAAAGAGTAAAATACCGACAGCGCGGTGCAGTTACTGTCTTAACTTAATAACTGTAACGGCGAGTGTGTCCGCGTGACCGAGATAAAAAGAAATGTATATGTATTAGAGTTGGGTAATACAATATCTATATGTGGTAGCTATAGAGATGGGCAATCCACCTGGGTGGGTTTAAAGTCTGGTGGGTAAAAACCGGGTGTTTTGGGTTTATTGGGTTTAAACCCCATAAACACCCAAATTTTTGGGTGTTTATGATTTTGTACTTCATCATCGTCATCTCAGCCGCAAGACGTCCACTATACTGGACATAGACAATATTATTATGCAGCCTACAGAATAAAAAACTTTTAATTTGATTTTGAGTTTATTAAGAAAGAGATGAAAGTAAAATGTAAAACTACAGTCAATCACTGTCAGATTCAGAGTTATTACAAGCGATGAATTGTATAGGTTCGATAGGCTCTATTTCGTCTAAACTGTTATGTTCATTTACTTGCTCAATGAAAGCTTCTAAGGTATTTTTCATTAAACTGAATGTCCTCGCATTCAGCTTTATGTTTAAGATTCCAGTTATAACAAATGAATGAAATTTTTTCAGTTCTTTCAGTTGTAAGTCGATTTCTTTTGTTATTATGTATGTAGCCTTGGATACTAAAGGAACGCTCAGTGGCTGCCGAAGTACAGGGAGCTGATAGAATACGAATCGCTACTTTGCTTAACTCAGTGGAACCACAAATACCTTTCCACCATATTAGGGGCTCAATGCTATCTAATGAGCTCCATACAAATCCTCTGGCCCAAAAGTTTTCTTTAGCTTTATAACACGCCAAATCTGCCATTACATTTGACAAACTTAAGTGTTGGCTTAAATTGTAGATAAACTCCATACCCTTAAGTTCTTCCTCTTGAGTAAGTTCGACTCCTAGAGTCCTGGGGTCTAGAATATATGCTGCAAAATGTATTGGCCTCATTGCCATATTGCATCTTGAAGATACTGATGTTAGAATCTGCTGTTTGCTTTCTTCGCTCAATGTCGAAATCTCATTTAATGCAAAACGTATCTTAGCTTGTACATCTCTAAATGTAATGTATGTGCGATGCAAACGATTCTGGTCGCTCTCTAAGTAAAATATGCTTTCAGTGACTGGTTCCAAAATACTTATACATTCCCCTGTCTTCGTCCAGAAATCATCACTTAGAATTAAATCTTTAATATCTCTTGAAATTACCACATCTTCTCTAACTGTTAATATTTGCAAAGCTATCTTATTTGCTTTCAAACTTTTTAACGAAGTAACATGACTTCCCCATCTTGTAGCACAAGGCAATTTTAGTGTTTGTGTAGAATCTTCACCCTGCCTTGATTTTATCAACAAGGAACTTAATCGTTGACTCCTTTTAACAGTTTTTATTATATTTATGGCTTGCATAATAAACACAGTTACTTCTTGTATCTTTACAATATCTTGGCACAACAAGTTAAGGATATGTGCACAGCAACCGAGAGGAACAACATGTGGATATTTGAGTTTTGTTAATTCGAATGCCTTTTGTATATTTCTAGCGTTATCGCCAATAAGTACAAGAAACTTATTTGCTCCATACACTTTCATTACTTTTTCAACTTCTTGGCTAAGGTATTCACTAGTGTGAGGATTACTTTCTGTATTCAAACTTTTAACGTATGCAGGTTGAGGTTTTGATATAAGAAAGTTTATTATTCCTTCATTTCTTAAATTAGACCAGCCATCGCACTGAAGGTGTAAGTAACTACAAGCATTTAGTTCCTCATTTAACTCAAAACGCATTTCTCTATATATTTTATCTAAGTATTTTGTCGCTAAAGCTTTACGTGAAGGTATTTTAAATTTTGGTTGCAATTTTTCGAAAAATTGTATCCATAAAGGATGTTGCACCATCGATAATGGCGTCCCTGTTACAAATATAGCTCTCGCTAATTCTGTTTTTATATGATCATCGGTGTCTTGAAACTCAGCATTTATTGTAGTGTTAGCAGACGACGAGGGGCTTATAAAAGAATCATTTGTCTCTATCTCTGACAGTCCAGACATTTTGGTTTTGGACGAGCTATCTTTTATAAGTTTCATAGAGTCTTTTAATGTTTCTGGAGATTTTGGACAAGTGATAAGATGTTGAAGCATTTTGGCAGCATTACTGAATTTGTAGACCTTATTACAAAGCTTGCAAGAAACAGACTTGTTTGGTAAAGTACGGTAGTGCTCCCATATGCGTAAATCTTTAGGTCTCCCCATTGAACCTAAAAAAATGAACGATGATTAGTTGGTCTGACGAAAATTCAACAATAGAGTGCCTATTTTTTTACAATGATTATTTCTTGTTATTTACAATAAATTTATTAAAAAAATAATAAAATAAATACAAAAAACCTTTGTAAAATTACATCTCCTCGGAGGATTAAACGCAGACGCTAGTTTATTATCGTATTGTTCTGTATTTTTCTCAGCAACTTCTTTAATTCGATTAGGTACTTACGCATATTATGTTAAAAATAAATATCTAGTACACATCTTAGGCTATCCACCATTATTATCCAATGACGACTCTCAGCTAACTATGCACTATCATCCAAAATAAACGTGTATGGAAAATTTTATCCCAGTCGGTTGAGGATTGAGGATAATTGCATCAACATACGAACATACCTACATACTTTTATTTACATAACGCAAGCTAAATAAAAGCTTGTAATAATACATCTAATTTTAAGTTAAAATTGTTAAGTGATCATGATATAATTGTATCATTCAAAAATCCACTTACCTTTAATTATTTCTTGTTAAGTATAAATATTATTTCAAATCTGCTCCCTTAATATGCACTTTTTTACTGCTTTTCCTACCTAACACGTTACCAGGAAGTCACGTTACCAGAGTCAGAGTAATAGTGAACACGTTTGACAGTGATTGTCGTCGCCTCATATTCAGCGTCGACGAATAGGGGAATCCCCAGTCATAATGTATTGCATGCGTGGCGGTCTTACTTCAAATCCATAAACAAAGAGATAATTACAGAACTCGATACTAGATGGCGCTGTTTTTGTTTGAAGAAAGTTTGCGGGCTAAAATACATAGAATTTCATCAATGACTTCCACAAAGAACAACATTTCTGTTTTTTCTAAGTCCGTATCTCTTCCGTATATTTCATAAGATATAAGCTTGGGCTACATTGTTATGCAACGTGATTTTGTCGCTGTCTTGCTAGCAGGGTTGACAGATATACGATTTAAATCGTACTCATACTATTATTTGTCTATTTTTTAATGTACGATCGTAAAGATTATGATCGTAATTCGCACAAAAACATACGACTTTTTGGTTACCTGGCAACATTTTTATTATGAAACGAACATGCTCACATCATCAGTCACATGCAACAATTTATTGGGGATTTCCCCTTCACATCTGGCAGTCCTGCTTGCTAGAATATAGGTAAGTCAGCCACAGTTACTGACGATCGATATTTAAAGGGTATTGTTTTTGTGCTAAATATTTCATAAAAACGTTATTTAATACTTTGTGGATTATTAATTTAGTTGATAATCACTGGAAGTAAAATGGATGCTAATTTGAGAGATCAAGATCTTCGTATAAAACAGTTAATAAAAGAAAATCTACGTAAGTACTCTTTTTATACCTAGGTAGGTAAGGTATAATAAACACAAAAGGTACTTAGATCGCGTGTGTTCGAAGCATTTATTCTAATAAATTTAATTTAAAATTGTAGAAAGAAAAAAATGTCTGCCAAGCCGTAGCCGAAGCCGATCTCCAAATATATTTGGCGATAGTGAGACCCAGTGTCCAGATGATTTACCCAGCGTCGTCGCAACAAAGAAAAAAACGAGGATAAAGTAAAAGAAAATTTACTGAAAGAAGAAACAAACTGTTCTAAATGCTTAATTTATGGAGAAGAGGATAAAAGAAATGAGTATTTCGGACTGTTAGTGGCTCAAGAATTTAAATATATACGGCCATGTGTGCGAACGAGGTGTTATGAAGAAATTTTAAAGTATCTACGGGAAGCAAAAGGCCAACATGTTGATCAACTGCAACATGAAAACACTGAAAATTAATTACTTTCATTTTATTATATATAGATTTTTAAAATTTCCTGAAATATTATTAGTTAACGTTTTATTTAATATTGTAGAATTGATCAATACAATTTATAAAAATAATTTATTGGTATTACTTACATATTTTCAAAAAAATACGTAAAAACCTATTTTTTTGGGTGATTATGGGAGTTTATGGGTGTTTATTGGGTTTTTACCAAAGCACCGGGTTTAAACCCGGTGCTTTGCCCATCTGTAGGTAGCTACAATATCTATATATCGGCCTAATAAAAAGATATATTCATTGTCAATTATCCAATATATATTGTAGCACCCGATCTAACTGGTGTGGGCGATATCGAAGTGGGTTATATCGAATATTATATCCGATATACCTAAAATGTAATAATTGTGGGGAAAGGGATTGTTAGTAATGGGATCTAGAAGTTCCATTGCTAGCAATATACCCTATCAGGTCGACCTCCACGCGGTTCCCTCTGGAAGACCATCGTGGTTAATTCTTCACGGAATTCTTCACGATGGGCTAACTGACCTGCTTTCACCCTCACCTATCATCCTTCACTAGATGCCTCGCCAGCGTATACCGACAGCGCAGGCGGGGTTTCCATTCCAGTTTTACCCATTAAAAAAAATATGTAATAATTCTCATACTAAGAGTAGGCCAAATTTCATGACAATTGGCTGAACCGTTAAGGTGCCAAGAAGTGTCAAATGATTTTCATATTTAGGTATAATATTAAAAAAAACCTAGTTATATTCCATGGCTTCGCCAGCGTAAATAATACATAACGTATCCTATGTGCTAAATTAGTATTTAACCTATACGTGTAACAAATTTCATTCAAATCGGTTCAGTAGTTTTTGCATGAAAGATTAATGGAATAAATAAATTAAATAATAAATATAGGTTGGTAACTATGTACTCATAAGTGTTGAATGTGATCAGAGATAAAATTACATTACACCTGTATGATTATTTTATCTTGACAAGTATAATGATACCGTTTTTATTGCTTTATATAATAGTTACGATAATGTCTGTCAGAGATCATAGTTTTTTTTTTACTATCGACCATAGCTTTAATTGATTGTTTAATAGTTTTTTTTTTTTTTTTTTTTTTGTTATGAAATAAGTACAGGAAAAAACGTATCACTCTTTTCTATGATTATGATATTAAAGATGGATAACATCTGATATCCATATATTGAGTTTTTCTAGTAATGGATGACCACCCATTGCGATTATGCCGATACCAGTCATATCTATGTTTATTACAAACGGTTTTTTTTTAATATTATATACTAGCTGACTCGGTAAACGTTGTTTTACTATATACATTATTTCTAAAACTATACATGAAAATTTATTGTACTACGATTATTATATTCGATTGCCATTTTGAAACCATATTGCGGCATATAAACTTTGCGATTAAAAAATAGGGGTTGATCATTAAAGGGCGAAAATGTGAAAGTGTATATATTTTCAATGCTAAATTATAATAAAATAAAGATAAAAAATTTGGTTAAAAAATAAAGACAAAAAATTTAGGGGTAGATCACCCTTATCATTGAGGAGTATGAAAAATATTGGCCGAATCTCAGACCTACCCGATATGCACACAAAATTTCATAAAAATCGGTAAAGCCGTCTCGGAGGAATTTAGTAACAAACACCGCGACACGAGAATTTTATATATTAGATTAACTGATATCTAATATACCGGTTATTGAGCCAATATATGTACAGTTATTGCAACTACGATATATAGATATTGCTATATATTATATTACCCACTCTTATCTGATATATAATAATAATTGTGCTCCGTACAATACATGAAGCCTGATCGGAGTCTTTCTTTTTAAATGAAAGTCTATCACCAGAGGGCTACATCTTCACACATCTTTTTTTTTTATGGATGATAATGAAATGGTGGCCCTACCTGCGCTGTCAGTGTACACTGGCGGGACACCAGTAAAGGTTGATTGGTGAGGATAAAAAGGTAGGTCAGTTAGCCCATCGTGACGAATTCAACGATAAATTAGTCACGATAGTTTCCAGGGAAACGGCGTGGAGGTCAACTTGATAACGTATATTGATAACAACGGGAACTAACTTCCCCATTACTAATAATCCCTTCCCACTTCACACGAGTACTAGTAATATATTACGTTTTTTGCAATAATGGCCAAAAATTCAATCTATTTCTCCTTGTCCTATTTATTAACGTTAAATTCGTCGAATGAATATTACTGAAAATATTCTCAGAGATTAATGTCGGGTCACGGCGAGCGTGAACACAATTGTCGTCACTAAATGACGCTAACAAACAAGGATAGCGTCATTCAAAAGTAGGTTATAGGCATGGGTAATATGAATACAAATTTGGGGGCCTACCATGAAATGAAATTTCAAATTTTCGGGCTCATTTTCGTGTTTTTGTTCATACCTAAATCGACCCAGTAAATGGAGCTTAATGTTTCATTCATCATGAATCCTATCCTAATAGTCCAGAGGAACGATATTTTAATATTTTTAATAATTTTAAACGGCATGTATTATGTAATTTTAACATCAAATTAAATTCGTTATTCTATTTCGTTCGTCCCCGAAATTTCGGAAAATATTTCATGGTAGGCCCTCTGATATCTATATATTGGGTTTCTCTGGATATTGATGGCGGAAAGAGATCGTCCTCATTTCGATAACGCCCATATCGGTCGGATATCTATTTTCGAATATAATAAAAGTATGTAATCCGATGTTATTTTTTGTACAACAGATATTTAACGTATTCGTTAGTATCTGGCATACTAACGAATACGTTAAATATCTGTTTTTTATAGTTATTTATTATAGATATTGTAATTAAAATGTAAAGATATTGCTGTATATTACTCACGCCTAGTAGGTTACAGATTGTCCACAATGACATGGCATGTGAAACAGTATACTCTGTTATGTCCATGCTACTACTCATGTCTATAGGCGACGGTTACCACTTTCCATCAGGTGGGCCGTCAGCTTGTTTGCCATTCTAAGTTGTATATAAAAAAAAAGTATATGCATAGGTTTATATATATAATGTATTTATACGATTAAATATAATGTAATTAATTTAATTTTGTGTAGTTTCTTCATATACAATATTGTCACAATATTGTACACCGCTCTACCCGCTGACATTGATGCTCCTTTCCATTTTGGGTTTGCTGAAAGAGAATTCTATTAGAGTTAAGCTCGCCTTTGCACATTTGATTATCTTGTCGCATTTTTATAAATAACTGGTGTGTACAATAAAGAATTAAATAAATAAAAAAAAAAAGTTAGCGCGATGAAGACCCGCTTCTCTTTAAGAGCTAAGAAGGCATTCAAAGATTACGTAACCCTAATAAGGGAAGAGGGGAGGACTTTATAAAACATTACGATGCATTATAGAGGCGGGAGGGGGTTACGAACAACGCGTTACGTCACAATGTTTTTTTTTTTTTATTATTTAAATAAAAAGCATTTCATTTATGTTTTAAGGGCATACCTCGATTGTATTGTAGGTCATTTTTATTTTGTTTTCGTTTTCAGTATTCATTAGTGTTGTGGCATTTGGTTGTAATTTTAAAATAAAAATGAGTCAATAGGTGTTATGTAACTTTTGGAGATGAGTATAGAAAAATGTTATAGCGCGTTACACGCGGGGGAGGGAGGGTCAAAATCTTTAAAAATTGTGTTACGTAATACTTGAACATCGCCTAGATCAACTTCCATCAGCAGTATTTCCAAACCGATACGACATCGTAACTTTTAAGAAAAGAACATATTCCTTTTTAAAAAGCCACTAGCACAGGTGTGCTCTGGTATTATGTATGGGTGCTCATGGGCGGCGGTAGTCACTTTCCATCAAGTGAGCTGCATGCTCGTTTGCCCCTTATGTTATGAAAAAAAGTCGTATTATGCTTTTTTTATTTAATTTTATTATGAGTATTACATCTGCCAAGTCGGTTTATACTAATTGATACGCCTTAAGCCTGTTTTCAACTCAGCTGTCCAAACAAGACATTGATAACGTGCACTAATAAAATTACTTCACTGATAAATGATTTACGTACTTACGATATTAAGCGGCCTTTATTTATTCTATTTCGACTTGATCTTTTATCTATTTAGATAAAAGCGATATCTTTAAAATCGTCACTGCGCTTCGTTCACGATGCACTTTTTTATACTATTTATTTTCTATATAATCCGTAAGGACAGAGGGAGACTGTACAAAAGTCGTTTGCTTGAACACCTCTGTCCAATTCGTGTTTCAACCGTGAAGCAGTTGTGTTTGCATGGCTGTGTTTCGGTTTGAAGGGTGGGATATAGCGTGAATTTACAGGGTACAGAGGAATAACATCTGAGTCCTCAGGAATGGCAACGCATGAGAGGTATCATGGGCGAAACAGTATACTCTGTTATCTGTTATGTCCATGGTACTGCTCATGTGTGTGTGTATATATATAAGCAGGAAATATGACCTATTTTTTAAGTAAACTTGGAATGGCAATGCAACAGGCTGACGGCTTAATGACGGAATAATGATTGTGTAATTAAATCTTTTAATGTGGCCAATATAAATTATGTACAATAAAAATTTTACAGTACAATACAATACTATAAATAGAGGACTACTACGATCGTATACCTCCGATTACCTTTTTAATTTGCAATAAAATGTTGACATTTAAAATATCAATGGTATAGTTTGTCTGTGATAACATGGCACGCTCCCAAACTGTAAACAATTAAAAATGTTTGAGTGCCCCTTCTAAATCCAAAAAAATAAAAATATGTGATCAAAAATATTTACATGATTCGACCAAGAAATATAATTCTTAGCTCTTCTAGCTGAATCTCTACTAAAAATATTTCCTCACAAACACAAACAGAGCACTACGTCTGTATATGGTCACACACATTGAGGTAAAAAGTTGGAGGGACGCGCCATGTTAACGTAAGCAGTTTATACATAATTGTAAAGAAACAAATATTATTTTCAGATCTGTCTCCTTGTTCATGGCTGCGAACGTCCGCAAGTCGGTAGCTGAAGGCCGGTCGGACGCCATTCCAATATTCCTCCAGGATATCCCGAAATTGTTTCACAGGAAAATTATCCAGCCCGACATCGCTCTTATCACGGTAATTAAATTTATGTTACCTTACTACTTGTATCCCCGAAGGTTAACTTCTCTTAAATTTGGTACGATGCATCAAATGATCTGACTTCAACCCTATCGTTTCATCCACCAAAGGTGCCATGTCTTTGGTCTTTATCCCTAACCTCTAATTGAAGGAATTCTTAGTAATGATATCTAACAGCCCTATTTTTTTTAATGAGTGAAAATAAAATGGTGACGCCGCCTGCACCAGTATACACTGGCGGGGCACCAGTGAGGGATGATAAGTGAAGATGGAGCAGATTAGTTGGCTTATCGTGAGGAATGCAACATTTACTACAATAGTTTACAGAGGGACCGTGGAGGTCAACCTATATACCATACCCCCCCCCCACACACACACACACACACACACACACACACACACACACACACACACACACACACACACACACACACACACACACACACAGCCTAGGGTTACCAATGGGATCTATTCTGAGGCGCCAAAATCTTTTTAATTAATATCAATTTATTATTCCAGTGAAATCTTTATTCTAAAGATCAATATAAACTAAATTTCTGTATATTTTATTCAAATCCGTTCAGTAGTTTTTGTGTTAAAAAGTAACAAACATCCATTCTTCATTACAGACTTTCGCCTAGTTACCCTATTAATATTACATACCTATATTAAAGGTAGGATATAAACTAGGTAATAGAATTTACGCATAGGACGTTTAGTGTCATATTTGCATGTGAATTCAGGTATCACCTCCTGACAGCCACGGATACTGCAGTCTCGGCACCTCTGTTGACTGCGTGCGATCAGCGCTGGTCAACTCTAAGGTCATTGTCGGTGAGTATCACTGAGCAAATAATTTCAAAATTATCTATTGTGAAGTAAAATTATGTAGATACACCATACCACGGTTTAAATTAAACTATTTTCAATTTTACCAAAGGGAGACTTTGTACAAAAGTCGATTGCTTGAGTACCTCTGTCCCATCTGTGTTTCAGCTGTGAAGCAGTTGTGTTTGCATGACTGTGTTTAGATTTGAAGGGTGGGATATGGCGTGAAATTACTGGGTACAGAGAAATAACACCTGAGTCCTCAGGAATGGCAACGCATGGTGGGTATCATGGGCGAAACAGTATACTCTGTTATGTCCATGGTACTGCTCATGTCTATAGGCGACGGTTACATTATTAATTATATTAATATAGAAAAACCGACTTTTAAAGACGGTAATGCTCTTGTATTAAAATTTGGCTTTTCATCAGGTGGCCCGTCAGCTTGTTTGTCATTATAAGTCGTATAAAAAATAAAAAAAAAGTATACCTACAGTGCGAGCATTGTAGCGGATGCACCATACTAATATTGTTATGAAATATGGTTTTATTTGCTTAACGGATGCTTATGTTTTGCGCTGTGGATAACTATAATTGGCTAATATGTAGTAAATGTAATGTAATATGTATTCAATTTTGTAAAAAGCTGTTGTTATCCCAAATAAAATTAATAAATAAAATAAATAAAAGAAAGATATACGATTGTATGAAAACACTTAAATTTCCGTGCACGTCCACGATGTCTCCGCAGTAAATTAAAAGCGTCTCCATACAATTACATACATACATTTGACTCCCTTGTTATAGTTATTTTGGCTGTGAATGTTACGATGTCGTGCCGTGTCGCCGTGAATTTTATAAGAGGGGTTCATTTACGTGATCAATAACTGTTGAAATATTTAGAACTAGCGCTTCAATGTTTTTTTTTTTAATATTAACTATTCTGACGTCAAAGGAAGAGAATTTCTACAAAGTTATGTTTTTTTTTTATACAACTTAGAATGGCAAAAAAGCTGACGACCCACCTGATAGAAAGTGGTAACCGTCGCCTATAGACATGAGGTAGTACCATGGACATAAGAGAGTATACTGTTTCGCTCATGATACTCCCCATGCGTTGCCATTCCTGAGGACTCAGGTGTTATTCCTCTGTACCCTGTAAATTCACGCCATATCCCACCCTTCAAACTGAAACACAGCCATGCAAACACAATTGCTTCACGGTAGAAACACGAATGGGACAGAGGTACCCAAGCAATCGACGTCTATAAGCGACGGTTACCACTTTCTATCAGGTGGGCCGTCAGCTTGTTTGCCATTCTAAGTTGTATATAAAAAAAAATACACATTGTATTTACATTATTTTTACCGGTACCTTTCCTGCACTAGATTACCCGCCAATTAATTGTTTTCTCTCTAACTACACTGGGTTGGCTGGAAGAGATCTCTTTAGAGATAAGCCCTCCCTCGCTAACAAGTTGTTAAACCAATCGCTATATGTATTGTTCAAGTGCAATAAAGAATATATAAATTATATTTAGTTTTTAGCACCAGATGTCACTGTATCACATATCCAGTAATATTTATTTAAATAAAACCTGTTGATTGTTGCAGCTCAAATCAACGCGCACATGCCGCGCACATTCGGCGACGCTATCATCCACGTGTCGCATATCGACTACGCGGTGCAGGACAACGTGCCGCTGCCCGAGCACGGCGCGGACAAGCAGGCCAGCCCCGAGGAGCAGAAGATCGGCGAGCTGATCGGACAGAACCTGGTCGTGGACGGGGCCACGCTGCAAATGGGTGAGTGTGCCGGACGTTACTTGTTGAGCTTGTATTTCCCTGCGTGGGTGGTAGACGAGTGCTTGCGGAACAGTGATATTTCCTCAATAGCAGTGTTTCCCAACTTTTCTTGTGCCATGCCCCACATGAACATGAACATTTCTAAAATGTTTACTCATACATAATTTTTCCCAACAAAGTTTACCTGACGACTCTAATCGCCCAGTTGATATTTTGGTAACGTCAAACGAAATTGTACCTAATAAATATTTGCAGTAATTTTTATAACTTACTTTTTTTTGTGAAATTTTTACACCGATATCTACTCATAGGATTGTTTTTAAATGGCCCGGAGCAAAAGGGTTAAAAATCCCCCCCCCCCCCCCCCCCCTTAACTATCAAATTGCCCCCCTGTGGCGTGGACCCCACGTTGGGAAACACCGCTCTAGAGCGATTAATAATTAATTGTAGTTTTCACATTAATTACAACGTAATATAATAGGTTGAACGGCGGCAGTGTGATGTTGATACCGATAGAAAATACCAGAAGACAAAATCGGAGTTGCTATACGTATAAATATAATGTTGCCAACAGTGAGTGCTAACGGGAACAGTAAATAGATTAGATAGATTGAGTAGCAACAGCGACGTATTTAAGCTACAGCTTACCGTTTCTACCACCAAGACGTCCCCACCATTAATGTCCTCTTGCTGCAAATGCGCAGAATTGGTTAGAAAATGAAGTAAATGGAAAAGTGAGAACTTATACTTTTCATTAATTTTTTTATTAGTTTTATTACTAGCAACACTGTCACTATGGCTGGTGATTCCCCTTAGCAATTTCACGTGCAATTTAATAAACAATATTGATTATTTCTGTTTTCATATTATTAATTCAATTGAATTTTAAATACAGTATAATAATACCTGGTAAAATAATAAAAACAAAAATAATAATAGAAAATTTGTTTATAATTCTAAGGTTAAATTTTGTAACATAATAATGTATTTTATATGTCAAATGGGGCTCCCACCGGCCCAGGGGCCCACAGACCCTAAATGTGGCGCTGAGTAAAAGAGCAATATTTTTTTGATGAGTTATAATGAAATGGTAATCCCGCTTTCGCTTTCGATATACGTTAGCGGAGCCCAGTGCGAGATGATAGATGACAATGAAAGCAGGTTAGTTAGTCTATCGTGACGAATTCCACAAGAATTAACCACGGTGGTTTCCACGGAGAACCGCGTGGTAGTTAACCATTAGAAGTAAGGTACACAGATATTCAACCTTTTTTTTTTTATACAACTTAGAATGGCAAACAAGCTGACGGGCCACCTGATGGAAAGTGGTAATCGTCGCCTATAGACATGAGCAGTACCATGGACATAACAGAGTATACGGTTTCGCCCATGATACCCCTCATGCGTTGCCATTCCTGAGGCCTTAGGTGGTATTCCTCTGTACCCAGTAAATTCACGCCATATCCCACCCTTCGAAACACAGCTATACAAACACAACTGCTTTACGGTTGAAACACGAATGGGACAGAGGTACCCAAGCAATCGACTTTTGTACAAAATCTCCTTTTTAATCTGGTAACCTTTTTTTTTATAAAAACGATTTATATTAGATATAGGTGAAGGATGATTGGTGAGGTTGAAAGTAGGTCAGTTGGCGCCATCGTGACCAATTTATCAATTAGCACGATGGTTTCCAGAAATGATCGAGTAGATTGATGATCTCTGTAAATCAGTAATAATAAAATAATATATATAATATAATACATCCCTTACTCGATTTTTCGAGGGAGTTAGAAATTTTGGTTTATTAGCTCGATGTGGGTCTGTTATTTTTAAAACTATATATGATCACCTGTCATCAGGTATCGGAAGCATCCCCGATGCGGTACTGTCGGCCCTGAAGGACCACAAAGACCTCGGGATCCACTCGGAGATGTTCAGCGTGGGTGTCATTGACCTCGTGAAGCGTGGATGTATCACTAACAGCAAGTATGTTGGCTATTTTTTAAACCAGAACTATTCTTGTGATTTGCTAATAGGTATATTACTCGATTACAGCGCCAATTCTGAATCGATTTTCACAGTTATTTTTTGCAATCGGTAGGGATTATTTCCATGTTGTTCTAATTTTAATTTAATAACGATTATAGCTTCTTTCTCTCTTTGTGTCTTTGCGGAACAAAAACTGTATGTCCATAATATCAATATTATGGATGCCGTGATTTCAAATACTAAATTCAAATTTACAATTACAATCTATATGAAATATCTATTGTTGAATCATAAATAACGTGAGCCATACAGTATTGTAACTGTTTTTAAATACGGGTATGTCTGAATAGTTTCGAATTCAATAGAAGCCCTTATTAATGAGCGTGGTTCATGGTTGTACCGCGAGCAGCACTGAGTGACGCGACCAGCGTGCTGTTTGACGCTATGCGTTCGAAATTAGTCAGGCAACCCCGAATTTAAAACGTGGGTAAAGCAAAAGCAATTTTGCTTATGATATGAAACATTTAATTTTTAATATAATATTAATATGAAACATCAAATTTTTTTACTGTTGAAGTTGCTTTTTTGTAACAATATTGTTGTTCGTTTTTATTTTTTATAATCCGTTAATTTAGCTTCTAAATTTTTTGTCGTTTTCGATCCAAGATTCTATGAAAATAATGTTAAATTTTACAGTACTCAAGAAGTATAAAGTCTGTTATGAAATTAGTAACAGATTTAGTTGCATAAATCTATCTTGTACATAAAAACATCTGTTTAATTTTTAACTGATTTAAAAAAGACGTTGTTGACAACTTGTTTCTATTTTTTTTTTTTATGTTTGTTACCACATAACTCCGTCAGTTGTAGACCGATTTGGAATTTTTTTTTATCTCAAAAGATTAACTTTCAGTAGTTTAGTTTATAAATCAAAATAACTGGTTATAATAAAATAACTATTTTTTTTTTATGATTTAATATTATGTAATGTCATTTACAGGAAGAAAAAGCATAAGGGACGCATTGTTGGCAGTTTCCTGGTGGGCAACCGGCAGTTGTATGACTTTGTTGATAACAATCCTTTCATTGGTAAGTTCTTTTAATACTATAAATGCTAAAGTTTGTAAGAATGCATGAATGAATGTGTGTTTGTTAGTCTTTCACACAAAAACTACTGGACGGATTAGAATGAATATTGGTTTACGGGTAGGTTATATTCTATTTTAGCTCATTGTTTAATTATACTTCCTTTAATTACTGATTCACGCAGGTAAACCCGCGAGACACAGCTAGTATTATATCTCTGTTTAAAATACAATTTACAAACTCTAAATAGACTCTAAATAGTAGGTATATTAAAATAGATCCTCGCAAGATTCTCACGTATGTGTTTCTCCATTTATTACTAAGTCAAGGATTTTGCATTACAAGGATTTTGATACGCGTTTCTCTATCATTTAGATATTTATTTCGGAAAAATTCTGTAATAAATATCATATATAAATAAAACATTTTATGCCACTTATTGTTACATTAGCAATAAGGAACACAAACTGTTTTCCCAACGTGAAAGAATTTTAAAATCGGTTGAGTAGTTATTATGTTTATCCGTTACAAACAAACAATCAAACCTTTCCTCTTTATAATATTTGTGTAGTCTAATTTGTTGTTGTTTTTTTATTATTATTATTTTAATACACGTGTGGAGTTCGGTCGCTTATTCGACACAAAACTGTATCAATCTGCTCGACCTTGATAATACTTGTAGGATGTCAATAACCTCTTCTAATGTGAAGAGAATTTATTGGGCTTTTGTGATAAACACCTCCGCGAATTAGCTTTTTTGTTGGTTTCGTGTACTTTTTTTGTATTTTTTTTTTGTTGAAAATCATATACTGTAATATATTTAATCGTAACGGCTAAAAGTTATTTAATTAACACATTTATACGGACAAAGCCGTGTAGTGGTGGCATAAAATAGGCCATCCCTTCCTTTTCCGTGTTTGTCGTAAGAGGCGACTAAGATAGTTTATAGTCGAGGGATGGGCAGCAGCGTCCCACTTAAAACATCACCAAAAGCCAAACTGCGGCTGTTAACCTGCCTACCAAGCGTGGCAACTACTGGCAATATCCTCCTTTTGGGAAAGACTTTATTCAGCAGTGGATACAACTTTTTTTTTATACGACTTAGAATGGCAAACTAGCTGACGGCCCATCTGATGGAAAGTGGTAACTATCGCCTATAGACATGAGCAGTACCATGGACATAACAGAGTATACTGTTTCGCCCATGATACCCCCCCATGCGTTGCCATTCCCGAGGACTCGGGTGTTATTCCTCTGTACCCTGTAAATTCACGCCAAATCCCCACCCTTCAAACCGAAACACAGCCTTGCAAACACAACTGCTTCACGGTAGGAACACGAATAGGACAGAGGTACCCAAGCAATCGACTTTTGTACAAAGTCTCTCTGGTAAAAATAACATAAGGTAACATACGAACAAAGAGACTTGTTACAACCAGTGTGTGTTACTTCCAGAGATGTTGGAGATTGACTACGTGAACAACACGCACATCGTGTCCTTACAGCCGGACATGACGGCCATTAATTCGTGCATCGAGGTCGACCTCACCGGCCAAGTGTGCTCCGACTCTATAGGTGAGAGACCATAGATATTTCTGTAGAACTATAGCTACATATTTTTTTAAAGCTATAACTACTTTTAAAACTATATTAATTTTTTCGCTACAATTCAAATTTATACTTTTTAAAAGTGTGATTTTTATTTCACATACTTCTTTATGCATGTATTTTGTATATTACAGTGGTACCTCGACATAGGAGTTTAATTTGTTCTCTAACATTGCTCTTATGTCAAATTGCTAGTATCTCGAAGCAATTTTCCCCGTTGAAATTAATTTAAATTCATTAAATAATTCTAGCTCTCAAAAACCACGTTTTTGTCATGTGTTTTTGAATAAGAAAAATGTATTTACAAGAAGACATATTTATATATAACTCACACACTTTGCTTTGTTGTTGATTTCACACTTTAATTTAATAGACATCTTCTTCTTCGGACCCATGGTTTTAAAAATAAATGTGATAGATGATGTTTTGTAAATATACAAAAAGCAAAAAACGCGAACCCAACTTATCAAAAATGCTTCGAAAACAAGGGAAATAAGAACACAGACTGAGGTCTAGTCTAAGATGGAAGAAAATGTTAGACACTGCACACGACTCCAACATGCGCCCCGCACGTTAGTCTCGTGTACAGCGGTGTTATGCGCGATTCCTTGAGATACGCTCAAACCTTGCTCTCATCTCAAAGCAAAATTTTGTTCACTCGATGGCTCATATCTCAAAACACTCGTTTATCGAAGTACCACTGTATATATGTTTATGTGTGTGTATGTATGTGTATGTATACCTAATGGAACATGCAAACCGTAGTACTCTTAAAATATAATGGAAAAATGACAAGAAAAAAAATGCATGCGTTTTCTGACATTATTTTTAGCAGTCTCTTGTACCTAATCTCAATTTTACCACACTCCATATCCAGCCCTAATAATATTCATATAAATATTCTTTCATAAATGATGTGGCAACATTTATATGGAATGAATTTAATGAGCGAATTCTCCTATTCAGGTACACGTATGTACTCGGGCTTCGGGGGACAAGTGGACTTTATCCGGGGTGCTGCTGAAGCTGTGGATGGGAGGGGCAAGCCGATCATCGCTCTCGTCTCCACAACCAAGAAGGGGGAGAGCAAGATCGTGCCTACGCTTAAAGTTGGTAAGTATCCACCAATCGCAAATATAACAATTATGTACAGGACGGAGGTAAATGTTAGTCGTGAACAGCTTGTGTCTGAAATCGAGAGAACGTTAACAGGCGACTCTGATTGGGCACAAGCTTGTGCGTTCGATGGTTTCCACGGAGGTCGACCTGACAGGATATATTGCTAGCAATGGGACTAATAGTCCGCATTACTAACAATCCCTCCCCTCTTATAAATGGGGTTAATATTGAGAAATTCATGCATTCATCCTCACCTATCATCCCTCACTAATACCACACCAGCGTATATCGATAGCGTAGGCGGGATTACCATTCCATTTTCATCAATAAAAAAAAAAAAACTACGTTCATTATGCTATCAATGTGAAGTTTGTACTAAAATAAGACATCATAGAAAAAGGCAAAGGCACTCCTTTTTCCAATTCAATCAAGAAAAAAATCTTTAGAATACGACGGTATGCCAATCGATACGTTAAGTATAAATTAATAACAATAGTATCACGCGCGGGAGTCGTTCGATGTTTTAATATCATAACATCATCACGGTTTCCAATTTTAATTGTCTATATAATTGGCCAAGTAATATTTGTATATTAATTATCGATATCAAACGATATGCACGTGAAACGAATAACTTCCATGAAGGTTATATGTAGGTCGAAATAATATTTGAATAGTTGTGGAACCTTTTAAGAGAAACCGCGCTTTATTGATTTACGAGATTTTTTTTTTTTTTTTTGGTAGGTCTGGGTCACGTAATTGATAGAACGATCCGTCCTCGCTATTTGATACGGGCAAAGAGTTAGCTCGAAATATGGGAAATAGACTCGATCATTTTCGAGTCTATCGCCATATTTCGTTTTACGCATAGGATATGATTTATCGATTTATTCGATCGGATCGATTTTGAACTGTCATTTCTTTAAACCTATTTCTAAAATTAAAATTTCAAACTAATATCACATCGGAATCTTTATTGTAAAGGATAATTATTATATATATATATATATATATATATATATATATATATATATATATATATATATATATATATATATATATATATATATATAAAATATTAGAGAAATGGCGAATCGGACCTATTGTCATTGGATTTTGAATTAATCTGTAAGTATTTTGAACTGGCTTCTTTTACTTTACAAATGGCAAGCGAATCAATCTATTGAATCTGTTGGAAGCGAGTCCTTAATTTTTTTTTTAATAGTAGTTTTTAAATTGGTACCTCCATTTGAGCTATCGGTATACGCTGGCGGGGCACTAGTAACATGATTGGAAATGAAAGCAGCTCATCAAAAAAAAAAAAAAAGGGATTAACCACGATAGTTGATGAATTCGACCATCTATACGATGCTCCGAGTCCCGCTCAATCCATGATAGCTCTATACGTAATCCATAAAGGACAAGTCAAATCACATTTTCTTTCACTTTAGTTACTCTTTTCCATTCCTTTGTAATTTTTGTACTAGATTTGTCATATTTCCTTGTGTGTGTATTTCATTTGAATTATTCACTTGTCATTGTATATTTTTATTTATGGTGCAATAAAGAGTTAAATAAATAATAGTTGTCAGCGGGAACGGCATGGAAATCGTCCTGATGGACCTCGTTACTAACAATCCTTTTACCTCGCGAGTACAAGATTTGAAGTGAGACATTGGACGTTGCTATCTCATTCTAATTCGCTGGCGATGACGATTCACTTGTCTACAGAGCCTGTATGCCTCCGTGTGATTTCACTGCCATATATTTTATTCTACTGCTCTTTGCTTTAGGTATGATTAAACAGCCATCCAAGTATAGCTACTTAACGATGGAAATTTATATACAAAAGGCGTCTAACTTATCTGTTTATAATTATAATTAATTCTCTCTATCCAAATATTACTAAAACGAAATCGCATGAACCAATATTATTCTGTAATTTTATTATTTTATTTTTAATTTTACAATTTTTCTTTTCGCCAAGTTTACTTAGAGAAAACAATAAAGAGACATTTATTTATCGTTATTTATTTATTTCTTTATTCATTAGTACAAATATGTGTACATGGCGCAATTAATGCTAAAAGCATTCTCTCCCAGTCAACCATAGGGAAGTGTCAGAATACTCAAATGCGGTATTAGTAATTATTGATATACATACATACTAAAATTACATATATAAAGGAATAAATATATATAAATAACAAATATAATTAGTTATTTGTCCGGATAATAGTTATGGTTTCTTAGCTAATAAAAATTAATAAATGTTCTTACAGGTGCCGGAGTAGTGACCACCCGCGCTCACGTCCATTACGTGGTGACTGAGCAAGGCATCGCCCATCTCTTCGGGAAGACCCTCAGGCAGCGCGCCTACGAACTGATCAACATCGCACATCCCGACCACCGCGAAGCGTTAGAGAAAGCAGCATTCGAACGCCTCAAATGTATGCCGTCGCCTTAAAAAAGACTTTGTACTCTATAATTATTTATACAGGGTTAGTAAGAAAAAATCCGACTCGAAACAGCAGAATGGCTTTCTTAAAATTGTACCACAAACTGTTATTTTTTACTACCATTTGTGAAGCAGAAAATAAATCATTCATTCATTCATACAATCGAAATGAATAAATAAAATATGAAAATGAACTATAAAACATTATTTTTATATTTCATTTTGATATTTTCTTTTCATACAAATCGCGCCATCGCAATCTGTTCAGTATGAAAGATTTTTTCATCTATGTCTAATTTTTTTTTATATTACCACTATGGACAAAAGTGTTTCACAAATTTTAATTAGGTTTCAATTTGCTTTACAATTTCCTACTAATCCTATATGAAGAACGCGAATTTTAGTGACTGACGTGTCAACAAACGAATATCTGTTTTAGTAACATTTTTACCACATACACTATGCTTTTATTGTAATCAGTATAAAATAGAAATATAGACGGAACGTAATAGTGACTGAATTTTTTAAATTAATCCTACTATTTTAGTAGTTTTAGAGTTTCACTATATACATTGTGACACAGCTGTGGCGTCAGCTAAAAGAGCTTGTTGAATAGTTGTAAACCCCACTGCCATTAGTGCATCTGGCATTGTCAGTATTTTTTCAAATCTATTTGTCAATTTTCCAGGGAATTTGCATTTCTAAACATTTGTATTGGCTAATTGTTATATTAGATATTTAAGACGTTTAGCATTATGCTAGTCTATTCCTTAATGATATGCCTTGAATATGTAAAAGGACTGTAATAATTGTGTATCCAGAGATAGCATAGTTTAAGCTAAAATCTATTTTGTTATGTTCTTGGTTAGGTCAATATGAATGGGAGTTACTCAAGACAGTATATTGTTAAAATAGTAAGTATTCATTTCATAAGTGAGAAAAGGCCTAAAATTGTCTAAAGAGTACCTATCAGTCATTGTTTATTTTTTCACCTCTCCATTCATATTGTTCTAAATATTCACAACTATAATTTTAAGCTTCTTATCGAATTTATTTACCGAAATAACAATAAATAGTTTTTTTTTGGATTGTATTTTTACTTTATTTATTCAAGTAAATTTTATCTATGTGGCAACATTGTATTTTGCATAAAAAAATTACGTTAAAATAAAATAACTAAATTGAATAATATTGTTTTTATTTCCCCGTTAATTTGAATATCGATGCATAGTTTCCCTTAAAGACAGATTAGTAGATTGTTCCCACGAGCATGTAATACGTTCAACACAACTACGATAATAATAAACAAATACCATCAGATACAAACATGAGCACATTTATTTTTTATTGAAATAAAACCAACAGCTATAAAGTTACACCATAAAATACAATAGTGAAGGCAACAGCAAATTATAGGATTTGACAAAAACAACATTGAACAATATTTATTTATATGTCGTCTTGCCGGTTCGCTTCTACTGAGCCCGCAGATTGTACGCTACCAAAAAGTGTAAAATGGACTTGACCACTCAGTTTTTGTGTTGATTAGATATACAAGTTCAATTATCATTATTATTTATTAAAATGTCTCATTCACTAAATGACTATGAATACTTTTAGTCCAATATGTTTATGCTCTTTGTTTCTTAGATGCGGCAACATATTTTAATAATAAATGATAATTTATTTACTACTATTTTAAATAATCGTTCTATAAAATTACGACAAAATTAATATTGCAGACTGATGTAACATCAGTCATATTAATTCTTCTTTTAAATATTTGAGGATTTATATATTATTATCTATATTCATTTTTCACGGCGACGACTGCTGCAAATAGCTTGGACTGCCTTTCGAACTAACGTTTCCATTCTAAACGAACTGAAAATCACAGAGAGATTGTCGTCAACTGTTTGTATACGAATTCTCAAGTACTTCGGCCATATCATCCGGAATGAAGATTGTATGGAACGTCTAGTCGTCCAAGGAACGGTACAAGGCAAACGTTTTCGGGGTAGATCACCAACGCGATACACTGACCTCATCAAAACGGCCACACAGCTGTCTATTGTGGAATGCTCTCGCTCGGCGGCGAACAGAAGTAAATGGAGACATATTGCAAGGACCTGAAATGCGAAGGAAAGCCTCATCGACGATCCACTGTCATTGTGAAAACCACGACCACTCTGTCAAGAGTGTATGACTGAAGAGAGATATTCATTTTAAATGCCTTGCGAAATAGGTGATAAACAAATTAATTAGGTATTATAGTAGCGAAAGTCAAAGGAATGTTTACAAACATCTCTTTTTTATTGATGATAATGGAATGGTTTTTTTTTTAAATGGGTGATAATGAAATGGTGACCCCGCCTGCGCTATCGGTATACACTGACGGAGTACCAGTGAGGGATGATAGGTGAGGATGAACCAAGTCAGCCCGTCGTGATAAATACACCAGAATTTCAGCTCGATGATTTTCAGGGAGAGCCACGTGGAGGTCAACCTGACAGACTATATTGCTAGTAACTGATTGTTTAGACTCCATTACTAGCAATCTCTTCCATCCTTATCTAATGGTTACCCCACCTGCGCTAACGGTATACATTGGCGGAGCACCAGTGAGGGGTGATAGGTGAGAATGAAAAGGCTCAAGATCAGTTAGCCCATCTTGATAAATACACCAGGAATTCAGCACAATGGTTTCCAGGGGGGACCACGTGGAGGTCAACCTTATGGACCATATTGCTAGCAATGAAATTGATTGTCCGCATTACAACAATTATTATCATTATTTTTTATTCATTATTTTTATTATTAAGCATTATTAACAATCTCTTAGCTAGCTATTAAATTATAAAATTAATTATGATAAAGTACCTACGTACCATAATTTATCATAATTTTAGGGTTTAGCTACTGTAAACGATGGTGCTGCCTCTGCACAGCAATAGAGGAACTAAAATTACTCTATGAGTAGTTTTTCGTGTACTTACGCCCATTGACGCATTAAAATTATTTTTCAGTGAGGCGTCACCCTTTAAAAAGACACATATGCACGTACTCTTAAACATATTTTACGACGACGACGAAGACATAACTTATTTGGCGTGTAATAACTGTTTAAAAAAATATTATATATGTATAATTTTTCATTTATTTTATTTTTTACTTTCAAATATAGTGCACTCAGTACATAAAATATAATATTAAAATAATTCTGAAAAATGATTTTTTAATTCATAATTCGTAACAGTAATAAAAACGAATGTAATAAAATAATATTTTATGGTATACATAAAGATAATATAATACTACCTACATCTGGTACATATTTTATACAATAATTTAAATGACAAAAATTACTATTTTTTTTTAAATAGAAGAAACAAATAAGCTAATTGCGGCTTATTTGATGGTAAATAATTACCGCCGCTCATGAGCACTCACAACATTAAGGAATTGCAAGTGTTCCATGCTTTTTAAAAAGGAGTAATCTCTTTTCTTGAAGGTTACGATATCGTATTGATTCGAAAATATAACTGCTGGAAATTGATTTCAGATACTAAAAATTAAAACTACTGAATTTGAGGATCTTTTCATCGTTTTCATGCTTGATTTTCTGTTTATATACAGAAAACGGATTATACAGGATAACCGAATCAGAATATCTTAAATACATAAATTTTTCCGAGATATTCATTGGTCTATTTAGATTCACAATAAATTAGTATTGGTGTAGTCCAACCAAAACCGTGTCAATTAAGTAAGTCGAACTCAACCACAAAATATAGAAATTGTGTCTCGACTTTAATTTGTTTCAATCCATAGACTTAGTAATATATTATGTACTAATTCAACCACTATGGCATTTTAATGTCAAATAAAAGAAATGTTGCCAAATTGGCAATAGTGGAAGTTACATTTTCTGTAATTCTCTTTATGCAATTGATTAAAGGAAATTATCTGCGATTTTTGTTGTAGATATATAATTCACAATGTTTGTAGACTTATTGAACGTATTTTTAAACAGATATATTCTTTTTTTGTACAATCTTAAGATCTTTAAAAATATTTGAAAGTTTAAGTTTCTTGTTTTTGACAGTCGTATTAATTTTATGACAAATAAAAGTAAGTAGTTTATATATTAATATAGAGTCTGACAACCCTTTTCAAGAAAAAAACAATTCAGCACTAGCCACGAATTCACAAAATAAATAATGATAGTGTGTCAGAACTTGTTTTTAGTGTTTATTTGAGTTTTTTGTGATTTTTTTTACAAAATTTTGTTATATCTGTTAAATACACAATCCATCTTTCGCTATGACGTCGTTTCAACAAATGCTCGCTTTTAGAAAAGAACTGGTAATCATAGGAAAATACAGGATCATTCGTAGAATTGGTGGTGGTTCCTTTGGAGATATTTACTTGGGAATAAACATTTCTAATGGGGAGGTAAGTTAATTTTTAAATATTTTATGATATCTTCAATTTGACCTTTATAACTTGTCATTGAAAAATGTGCTATTGTGAAATAAAGTATCATCTAACGTCTGAATGTTAACCTAGATCTTGTTACATTGTCAGATTAACCAGTTACTATTTAAATTAGGGTTGCCACTGACCGACCAATCTGGTGTCTTTTTTCTGAACTTTTATGAGGTATAATAGAGATTTTGAAATATATTAGAATGATTAAAGTTTTAGGTATGTATCTATATAAAACTTGCCTCTAAAAGTATGAATCATTCGCAAGTAATGAATATGTTATGAATATAATTAATAACTAAAATGGTTAATTATATGCGTCTTTTGAAGGTTGTCTGTCTGTTTTTTTCTTACTTTTTTTACTTATGAAAGATTGAAAGGCCTAAATTATTTATTTTTTAATACCCATTTTCTTATATTTAAAGATCTACATTGCAATCTGTAAAATGAATCTGCTTTAAATGAATTTATAAACAATATCTTAAGTATGTAATAGTATTATAACAATTATGCAATAACTATATCTGACTTATATTTTGTTTATCATTAACAAAAGTTTTAGGTATTTGTTACCATAGATGTAGAGATAAATGTTGTAAGTACTTCTTTTATAAAAAAAACATTGTGTCTTACTGTTAAATTACTCATCTTGATATTGTGAACGTAATTTATTATTAGGGAATTTCATCTTATATTAAAAACATACAAAAATATTATCTGTTATGCCATTCTCATCAATTCTTTTGACCTTAATTGTATGTAGGAATTCTGAATACAAATTAAGCCAGAGTTACATAGTTACTGTTCATAATTTTGACCCTAAATTGAATTGGAGAGTATATATAGTTGAGGCATTAACAAATATATTACATTACCAATCTCATCTTTACACAGCAATGTCTTAATCACTGGTTTTCAGGGAGATCATATGAGGATTAATCTAATGGGATATATTGCTGGCAATGGGGTTTTTATAGTCCATAATTATCAATCTTGTCCGTTTTCTAGTTTTTTCTGTTTTATTTTCTGTAATGTGTAGCTACTTGTATATATGTAAACTCATATCGTCATAGTCGTAGAATACTGACAGATCTTTATATATAATCTTTGTCAGATCCGTCAGTATTTTACGACTATGATGATATGTTACAGAATTATGTTAGAAATCAAAGTACTTAATGATAGATCAAAATATTTTCACTTTCATGTAATGCCATACATTTATTATTTATTTATTTATTTATTTATAATATATACATACATTTCAAATCTTTTGCAACTAAATAGGTTACGTTACTTTTAATATATGTTAAATAAGTATTTTTCAATAACCTAGAAAATGTGCGATCTTTTAAATTGTAAAAATGTACAATTTCGTTTTCAATACCTATCAAAAATATTACCATTTAAACAAAGGATTCTACCAAAATGGTATAATATTTTTATTGCTGGCAATGTGAAAAATGAAGTAAGTTATCGTTTAGAAATCTGTATGTAATCTTCTGATATTGATTGCAATAGATTATAATACAAATTATCTAGGATTAAATTATCTAATTTCAGTTTTACGTAAAATAATGATAAAAATAAAATAATTTATAAATTGCAATAAATATGTTAAAACTAAAAACTTTGATATGTAAATCTAAACAAAATGGCCTACATAATGTTACTATTTCTATGTCCTACATTTTTATATTT